GAACACCTGAGATAATTCACAGGAAAGTCCTCTGAAGAATGCAAAACCCTCTACAAAGGCTGGGATTTATCATCATTTTCAATGTTATCTTTAGTTCATTTTTTAATAAATCCTTTTTTTCCCCATAATGTATAGACTTAACATTAGGTGAATACAGAACTCTTCTTATGATACAAATGAATGATTTATACAGAAAAAAAAAGAAAATATGGGAATTTTTATAAGAGATGAACTTTAAAACTATATGCAAAGACAAAGTTCTGGCAGGAGATATAGTAAAATATTACCAGCGTTTATCTTTGGGCAATTAAAAAAACACATTTTTATTTTCTAGTTTTACATAGTGGTAATAGATTACTTTTGTAATCAGAAAAAAAACCCAGAAGTAGTCAGTATCTAGTTATTATTTGAAACATTTATATTTGAAAAGATTTCACAAACATTTAAATAACTAATCTTATATAGTACTATGCAGTTCATTAGGAAGCAGTTTTTAAATGAGTCAATCCACAGGGGAGAGATGAGGCCATCAAAAGTTAACTTCTACAAATTAACACAACATTGTAAATCAACTATACTTTAATAAAATAAGTTTTGAAAAGCTAATTCCTACACTGACATTTTAACATTCAAGATTTCTTTTTTTCACTTGTTAAGTGTTAAGACCACTTAACAAGCATTAAGTGATGTTAAGATCTGGGATTTCGGTCAACTATGAGTATTTGACGCTCAAGAGCTTTTTGCAAGAAAATGTTGTCGCCACCTTCTGGCGGCCCGTATTAGTGGGATGGTCTTTTTACCTAAGTGACATGAACTTCAACTTTCATGTTCTAGAAACTGTCCTCTCTTCTGACATCATAATAATGGCAGAGTCTGTTGAGATATTGTCTTCTGGCTAGTCCATGCCTTATATAGTTTTAATCCTCACAATGGCCATAAGGAGTATGACCCTTTAATGAACTTGTAGAAAAAGCACAAAGAGGTTATACCATTTTCCCCAGGCTACACAGTAAGCAAATGACCGAACTGAGACACACACCAGAAAACGGCAATGCCTCTGCTGTTCCTTGTTACAACTGTGTGAAAAGCAACTGTAAATCTTGAGTGTGAACGCTATCAACTGTCACTGCTAAAACATTTACTGAGGAAGCACGGGAAAAAATGAGCAATTAAACGCCAGATGATCTGGGACTGAATCATCCTTCAGTACTTTACTCCTTGCCTGAGACCTTGGGCACATCACTGTCCCAGAGGGAACCTTTCCTTTGTGTCCTACATGGCTTCTGTGGGGATAAAATGAGACAAGGAGTAGGAAGGCACTTTGGAAACTGCTTCCTATTTGCTTACACCTCTAAACAAAATGAGACCAGCAAAAATGTAAAAATCTGAACTCTATTATCTTTTGTTTTTCATGCAGACGTGGCATCTTAGTGCTGTGACCTAAAGTGTTACCTTTGGTTTTGCAGGGGACAAGGCACCAATGCTTATTTAAATGTGCTTTTTGCATCTGTAACTAAAATATCAAAATGCTTTCCACTGTACTGCCCAATGTCCATTATTCAAGGCCCAACTGGATAAATTACTTTAATTCCGGGAAAACACTATTTTTACAGGAGAATATGCTCCCTTTGGTACAAGAAAAGAATACCAAGCTCTCTCTGGCTTTGGCTGCCAGGAAATTTAATTTAGTGTTCAATGGAGTCCATCTGCAGTTGGGACCACCCTCTCCCAATAAGCCTTCCCTTCCTCGGGTTTACTCACCCTTCTCTGCAAGCGTAAGTGACAGTGTTCCCGAAGGTGAAGTTACTCCCGGTGGTGACAGCATCTTTGATGGCCGGCGGCTCGCCGCAGGAGACCAGACGGCAGGTAGGTGGCGCTCTGTCCCAGCTGCCCGAGGCCGAGCATTCAATGACTGAAGGGCCCTGCAAACTACAGGAAAGAAAGGTGCCGCTTCTTTCACTGGCTATTGACTTACCGCTCTAGAGGTGAACTAGGAAGGACTTAGGAGAGAACAGGGGCCACTTGGGAATTTTAACGCGTGAGCTTTCTTTCTATTTTATTGTTTTATATAAAAACAAAGGAAATCTGAGTTTGGCTGTAGATTCATTTAAAACTATGAGTAGGCTAAAACACATAGCAACAACTGGGGTATAAAATACAATGGTTTAATGTGCTCTTTGGTGATCTTGTCAGGTGCTCCAAACCTTGTGATTAGCAGATCACTTGGATGAGAAGCAGTATTAGGCTGGTTAAGGTCCAGTGATAAGGGAGACAGACACCCAGGAAGTCAGAGTAATTCAAATCAAAGGGCACCATCCTTGCCATGAGCCTGAGCATCTGAACAGTGTTGTTCATCACTCTGACCTCTGGGCTGCCTTTGAATTTAAAAACCTAGGAGTTCTATGGCATGGTTTACCCAGCCTCACTTGCTAACCAGATTTTGATTGTACAACTCACTCCATTTTCCGTTCAGTTGATCTGTTAGCCAAGTTTTTGATCACAGCCTGACTCTTTCACTTCTTTTTGAACACACACACACACACACACACACACACACCATTAATCAATTAATACCTCTTAACAGTATTAAAGATCCAGGCCCTATCTTGACATGATTTTTTAACAAAATTCTATGCAATGTTTTGTTTACCAAAAAAAAAAAATCATCAAAGCATTTTATTAGGTGTTATGTTATGCTTCATAAACATTTTTTGCTTTCATGTTTAGTGTCTAAATGTTTATAGTATTGAATTGGAGCTCTCAAAGTTAGATGAAATATTTCCCTGAGCATTTACTATAGGCTGAGCTTTAAGAAGCAAACATATTTAAGAATATCTTTTACACTTAGAAACTTGTATTTAGAGCCAGCCAATCACATGAAACCCACTGAGTAAATAATGAATAACAGGGTACTATAGGAAGCTGGACTGCTGTCTAGGACTGTACCTGTATCCATTCTCACATGAATACGATGCAGTAGAAAGATAGGTAAGCCCACTCAAAATATAGGTCCCATGATTTATGTCTTCGGGGCTAGAACACTTGACCAGTTCACACACAGGAGGAGAATGACTCCAAGAACCACTAGCAAGACACGATGATTCTTTCTCACCCTCCAGAGTATATCCTTTATTACACCTAAAGCAGATAAAAGAAAATGACAGAATGGAATTCACTTTGCATAATTTCATCTGTACCAAAACCTCCAAAAAGACTAAAACTTTATACATATTGCTAGACTATTTCCTACTGAAATAATGCTTTGAAAAATTTTTTTTCAACATTGAATACTATGCATCTTGCCCACAGGGACCCTGCTGGGTAATAAAGAGAAGGATGGATTTAAGCATTTGATTTGCTTCCAGTTTGTGTCATGGGTTAGCATCTGCCCACAGAAAATTCACTCTTGAAAATTTAATTGAAGTACAGTTGATTTACAATGTCGTGCCAATTTCTGCTGCGCAGCACAGTGATTCAGTTATATGCATGTACACATTCAGTTATACATATTCATATATATATGTGGCTCAGATGGTAAAGAGTCTGCCTGCAGTGTGGGAGACCTGCGTTCAATCCCTGGGTCGGGAAGATCCCCTGGAGAAGGAAATGGCACCCCACTCCAGTATCCTTGCCCAGAAAATCCCACGGACAGAGGAGCCTGGCAGGCTACAGTCTATGGGGTCACAAAGAGACACAACTGAAGCGACTTCACTTTCACTTTTCACTTTCATACATTCTTTTCCATTATAGTTTATCATAGGATGTTGAATATAGTTCCCTATGCTATACAGGAAGAACTTGTTTATCCATTCCATATATATATATAGTTTATCCATTGGATAATGGATATAGTTTATCCATTCTATATATAGTAGTTTGCATCTGGCTAATCCCAAATTCTCAATCCTTCCTTCTTCTCCTCCCCTCCCCCTTGAATAACTACACACCTGTTCTCCATGTCTGTGAGTCTGTTCCTGGTAAACAGAAAATTCCTGGTTTGATAATGGTCCTATCTAAAATAAATCCTTAAGATGAAAATTCAGTAAAGACTTTAAAAATGGTCCACATCAAAAAAATCTTTAAAAAATACATTCAGTCCAATATTGGGCTTTAAATATAAAAAATATTGGGACCACACTTGGTATTTCTCCACCCTGACTTTCTAGCACTGCTGTACACCATACGCAGGGGGGAACTTACTCAACATACCTTCACAATATGGTATCAGATGACTCCATTCTCCAGACTCCAAACATGTGAGCCTGGCCGCCCCCACCAGCTGGTACCCTTCTTCACATGAAAATGTGACCTCGGCACCCACGGTATAAGTCTCCCCAGAAGAGTGGCCATTTTCTGGATTTCTGGGAGTCTTACATTTTATAGGTTCTTGAAAGAGAGAAAACAGTTTTTGTGGGTCAACAGGGTCTTTCACATAACCACATGAGGTCTCATAGCAAAAGAATTCCACTGCAGTTAAGGTACCAATTAAATCTTGAAGGGGGGAGGAAAAACTTCTGAAGGGAAAGGCATGAATTCCAAGGACAGACCAGATCATTTAATAGGCATTTGAAAAACAGTATTTTGAAACAGCAATGAATAAGAAAAAGAAACAAAATGTCTCTGTCCCCAAAGGAAGCTGTTTAGGGAGGAACTGGTGGTGGTGCCAGGGCATGGCTCAGAAGGGCTTCAGCCCCTGCTCCTCCCAACCTCATCTGTTGTTGGTCAGCCGCTCAGTCATGTCCAGCTCTTTGCAATCCCATGGACTGCAGCACGCCAGGCTTCCCTGTCCTTCACCATCCCCTGGAACTTGCTCAAACTCATGTCCTTTGAGTCAGTGATGCCATCCAACCATCTTGTCCTCTGTCGTCCCCTTCTCCTCCTGCCTTCAACCTTTCCCAGCATCAGGCTCTTTTCCAGTGAAAAGACCACTTTTTAAGTGCAACTGACTTTCTCTCAAGATGATACAGAGGCAGCCGCAAAGCACACTGGGGGGAAGTTCCCCACCTCCCCTTTCAAACAGTCCCCAGATCATAAGGCTGCTGTGTGCAAATCCAGGGTCAGTCACCCCTTCTAGGAAGGGGGATTATAGAAAGGGAGATTTAGGGCTAGAGTCGAACAATGGGACCAAATGAACACTGAAATTCTCAAAAAAGGGAGATACACTGATTCAATCTTTCTGAAGATCTCTTGGACTTTACATGGAACACTCGCAAAAAGTAAATGCAATTATAAGACTGATTTTGAGAATTCCTCATTAAGTTCTAATTTTTCAAGTAGCTGCTTTCTCACAATTAGTATAGAAAGACACTGATGGGGTGAGTATTATCGACCTTACCACAAAATACAGGTAAAGCAAGTGGTAAGGCAAGATGTCTATTTTTTCCCAATGATTCTGTGTGGCTGAGGCAGAGGAAAGATTCTGAAAGAGAAGAGGTGATGAAGTAACCTCTTTGCTCTGCCTGAAGGCAGCAGGGGCCACCGCTTATACTTCTAGATTCACTCTATTATTCTTCTATTATGGAGACATTTCTTCAACAGTCAGGTGATAAAGTTGGCTCTCAGTTTTGTTTTTCAGAAATTGGGATCTATGGCCATACCACCCTGACCGTGCCAGATCTCGTCTGATAATCTCAGAAGCTGAGCAGGATCAGGCCTGGTTAGTACTTGGATGCGAGAATTTGTGAAGTTAGGAAAAGCACAGTGCTAGTTTAAAGCACCTCCAACTGTTGCTTTGTGTATCTTTAAACACTTTTTACTGAAGTATAAGTTGATTTTATAATGTTGTGTTAGCTTCAGATGTACAGCAAAATGATTCACTTATACATATATTGATTCTTTTTCAGATTCTTTTCCATTACACATAATTATACGATATTGAATATAGCTCCCTGTGTTATACAATAGGTCCTTTGATTATCTATTTTACATATAGCATTTATACTGTGTATATGCTAATCCCAAATTCCTAATTTATCCCTCCCTCCACGTTTCCCTTTGATAACCATAAGTGTGTTTTGTATGTCTGTGAGTCTGCTGCTGTTTTCTAAATAAGGTAATGTGTGTCATTTTTTTTTAGATTTCACATGTAAGGGATATCATGTATTTGTCTTTCTCTAAGTATCTTTTTAAAGATGACTTTTCTTCTCCATATCCCCTTTGAAGTTGAAAATACTGTCTTATTTTTATATGACATACATTTAAACTATATACTTGAATTAAAAAGTTGAAAGAGACTTCTCAATTACACATAGCCTAGTTACCTGCACAGTTTTTACCATCTCCTGTGTAGGGTGGGATACATGAGCAGACATAGGATCCATTTGTATTCAGGCAGGAGGCGTGCTCACTACAGTCTGATCCAACTGCACATTCATCAACATCTAAAATAGAGATCGTTTACAGGCCATAAGGCTGATGGATTTGTCTTATGGAGCAAACATTTGTTTTTACTTTTAAATCATTATGTATCACTTAATGCATCACATTATATATATTTTTTATGAAGTTTAGATGTAATAGTCATAATCACATTGCAGATCTACAACAAAAGCTATTTCCACAGTTTATAGGTGGATAAGTAAGAGAAAGAAAGAAAGAAAAAGATATTCTTATATTGGGCCTGGTAAAAATTTAAAACATGTTTGGCATGTCCATGGACAGCTGCTTTGTCACTATGGCTTGCCCAGAGCTGACTAGGACAAGATGAAATTAACAAAGGCACGCCGCAAGAGCCTCAGGAATTTGGGATAATTATCTCCCAGAGAGTCAGAATAAAGGCACGCAGTAATTGCCAAGATTCATCTCACCAAGACACGATGGTGAAATGCCATTCCAGCTCCCATTATCCGTACAGAACATCCTCGAATCGCCCAGCAAATAGTAGCCGCTGTTGCACTGGTAGGTCACTGTGCTGCCAGCATGGAAGTCCTCGGCTGAATAGAAGCCGTTCTCCAAAGGGGGTGGCACCCCACAACTAATGCCTGGAATGTGACAATTACCTTAGGAGCAAAATACTCAATGGACATCTTATTTATATTAAACCTGTAGTTGAGTTAAACATGAACTCTTCAATGCACACAAACATTACACTGAGAATACTATAGGTGTGGTGGCAGGCTACAGCCACTCTTGTGCCCAGAGCATCAAGCACAGTGTCTGGCTCACAATGGGCATGCAATTCACTCATTTAAAAGATAATTATGGAGGGACTTTCCTGGTCATCCAATAGCTAAGACTTCACGGTCCCGAAGCAGGGGGCCTGGGTTCCATCCCTAGTCAGGGAACTAGATTCCACATGCCGCAAGTAAAGATCTAAAGTGTCACAACTAAGACTCAACACAGCCAAATAAATAAATACTAAAAAAAATAATTATGGCGACCCTGCTACCTGCTAGACATTGTCTGGGTGCTTAGGTTGAACCAAGCAGACAAAATCCCTGCCTTACAAAGTGTACTGTCTAGTCAGAGATGAGATACATGAAACAGATAAATAAGCACCAGGTGGAAAGAGATGTTTTGAAGGAACTTCCCCAATCACCCCGTCTACAATAGCAGTCCTGCTTCCACCCAACCCTCTCACTTTATATCTCCCTATCCTGCTTTTCCCCTGGTGACTCAGTCGCTGAAGAACCTGCCTCCAATGCAGGAGATGCAGGTTTGATCCCTGGGTGGGGAAGATCCCCTGGAGAAGGAAATGGAAACCCACTCCAGTATTCTTGCCTGGGAAATCCCATGGACAGAGGAGCCTGGAGGGCTACAGCCCACAGGTCCCAAGAGTTAGACATAACCACCTCCACCACCCTGCTTAATTTTCTTCAAAGCCTATACTTCTGGTCTTTGCAGTTCTTACTTACTATAAATAAATAATGTTACTTGTTACTTCTTGCCTTTCCTACCACAATGTAAACTCCACAAGGAGAGAGACTTCCCCCAACTGCTGTATCTCCAGAACTTAGTTCAGTGTCTAGCACATACTGCTGCTGCTGCTAAGTCGCTTCAGTCGTGTCCAACTCTGTGTGACCCCATAGACGGCAGCCCACCAGGCTCCCCCATTCCTGGGATTCTCCAGGCAAGAACACTGGAGTGGGTCGCCATTTTCTTCTCCAATGCATGAAAGTGAAAAGTGAAAGTGAAGTTTCTCAGTCGTGTGCGACTCTTCGCGGCCCCATGGACTGTAGCCTACCAGGCTCCTCCGTCCATGGGATTTTCCAGGCAAGAGTACTGGAGTGGGGTGCCATTGCCTTCTCCACTAGCACATACTAGGTACTTTCAAAATTGTTGAATAAACGAATGAATGGGTGCATCCAACTTAAAGAGATATAGTCCTGTTTTCCCACCCAGCAACTACCCATCTCCCTCTGGGCTCCAGGCTTCACACCTGTCTTTCCCTCCATTCATTTCCTTGGGCCACTTGGGTGCCTTCACAGGTGTGGGCTCTCTGTATCCTCATCTCCCACCTCCCTCATGGTGCCCAGCACACTTCATTACACAAAGAAAGTAATGAGTATCTGCTATATTGGCTGTTAAGAAGTACTCCACTTTTATCTAGCATTCCTCAAAAAGTGTTCTTAGGGTTCCACTAATTTTCAAGAGCTACTGAAATGCTTTCAACAAAGGCTGCTCACGTTCACAGCGAGGCAGTGGTTGTGTCCACTGTCCTTGATTCAGGCAATACTGCACAGAGTTCCCGACCATCTGGAAGCCTGGATCACAGTACAGACTGATTTTGGAGCCTGGCTTTACGTCTCTTGATGCAGTTCGCAGATGAGGTACCGATCCTTCTAAAGATGGGCAATCTGAGGGCAAAGAACACTGGTTCAGAGCTTGTCAGAAACACACAGGCAACATCATCAGGTTAAGGGTTTCAAATCATATATTGTACCAGCATTTGAGAGCCACTCTATTGATACTAAAACAAGATAACGTGTAACCAGATCTCTGGCATGCAAAATTTCTAGAAAAAAACTACTGGAGTCAACAAATAACTTTCCCTCTTTCAGCAGAAGTCTGCTGAATATATTTAAGGAAAATGGTATTTTTGAATTACAAATAGTATTTCAGAATTAATAAAATGTCCTTATGAGTTAACAAAAGCCATGAATTCTAGGATATCTTCAGAAACTTCTTTAAATATTATATATTGAATTTTAGAAGGGAGCTGGGACCAGAGGGCAGAGTTTGACAACTCAGTACATATATTATTATATCTATTTCTTTCCCCTCTGTGCTACCTGCACGTGGATGATGGCTAGGAATTACAGAGCCAAGAGAGTACCCCATCTCAAACTGGGGGACAGGACTTCGATGGGCATTTAAAAAAATTAACCGTATCCCTCTGCTCATCCTATTTTCCTTATTTTACCTTTGTTCAATTTCCTGCACAATTATTTTGTGCAGTATTTTGTGCAGTATTGTGTATTTAAGTATTAAAAAATAACAGACCCTTTAGATAAAGTAGGCTAAACATGAATTATTAGGTAAACTGACAAGCACACACTATTTGACCAGTAGAGAATCAAATGTCTCCTTTTGCTAGAAAATCCCCGAGTAATCAAGAGACAGCAGAGTCTAAAGAAGAAGGAAGCTAACCCGAACAGAATATGCTCTTCGGATTGATCTTCACTCTCCCCACAATTCCCGACAGGAAATCAGGCCAAGCTAGTACGTTTCCTTTACTGAGTTCCTCTGGGCATGAGGTGGCCAGCGATTTCACCTGAAAATTTACAAATGCATCTTTTAGACAAACCTCACTTGCTTCTGGAAGAGAGTTATTATATCGTAATCTGGTCCTGCTGAGAACATTCACATACTTGTGAGGGGCAGGGGGCGGGAAGCAGAGTTTTGGATGTAGGGTGTGATTTCAGGGGCAAAGGAAAGTTCTCTTCCTTTTCTCTCTCTCCCCACCCCCCACTATTCCCTTTACCAAATATTTCATAGTCACTGGAAATTCTGAAATTCTACATATAGAATTTCTCGTCTAAAATTCTGCAGTTTGTCAAGGTGTTGTAGGGGCGCTTCCTCTCTGGCCTCCTATGTCTGATCTGGAGGCGAGAAAGCTGAGGTTCAGGCAAGTTCTGCCACAATAATAGTAAGAGTAAGCATCTATCAAGCACTTTTGCTGTCGTTTAGTCAGTAAGTTGTATCCAACTCTTTGCAACCCCATGGACTGCAGCCTGCCAGGCTCCTCCGTCCATGGGATTTCCCAGGCAAGAATACTGGAGTGGGTTGCCATTTCCTTCTCTTGGGGATCTTTCTGACTCAGGGATCGAACCCACATTTCCTGCATTGGCAGATGGGTTCTTTACCACTGAGCTACTGGGGAAGCCTGTCAAACCCTTACTATGTAACAAACGATACCTCAATCTTGTATGTAGGACTTTGTTCCATTCTGCCAAAACTCCACTATGCAGTTCTATTTGTTTATCTTTAATAGATTTGAAAACTGAAGCATACAGAGATGAGGTAACATGTTCAAAATCATCAGAGTGAGTTCATGGTGAAACTGGAACTTGAACCCAGGCCATTGGACTGTAGGCTGGCTTTAACCACTAGCCCATCTGTTACTCTGTATGTGTGATCTTGTGCCAGCCCTAAATTTCTGCTTCTTGAGTCAGAGGGATTGGAAATATTCTTCTCTATGATTCTTTCTAGTTCTGAAATCACAAGATTTATGAAAGTCATGTCCAATAAAATTATAAAACATCACCAAGACACTGTAAATAACCTCTGCCTAGCTTAATCTACTACCATAGCAGCAAATGATACTGCCGGTAACTTCTGAAAACTCAACGGTGGCATAGATACGGGAGCATTAGGCTGTGCACATTTGTACTAGGTTTGTACCTTTGCATGTCATTACTGTCATACACTGAAAATGGAATTGACCTGCTGTGGAGACAGGACATAGTCCCAGAGGTTGAGCTGGCTTATGGAGCCCACAAAAGACTCAGCTGGGTTGAATCCCTCTCCTTTTGTGTCTTGTTCTTGCCCAAGAACCAATGAACCACCACCTAAAGAGAAAAGGAAAGAAAAAAGGAAGAAGAGTGGCCTGGCTGTTATTTCTAAAATGCTAACTTAATGAAGGCACAGCCTATACAAATGTATCAGAGGAAATTATTGAGAAGTTAAATTATCTACATTCACTGCATGATTTATCAGTAAGATGAGTTCGACATTTTATACAGCAACTAAAAAATCAGTCAAAGACGATTTGGAACACAAGATTAGATTTATAAATATTTAACTATAAAACTACATATATACTTATATATGCATATAGTATTTTATGTCAACAAAGTAACTAAGTCCTTTTTTGCCTCTTCTGCTCTAGGAAATTATCCTCTGTGACAGATTACCAGTAGCTGCTCTTCATTATCTTATTCTTTAGCCTATAATGCTTAAAGTTCTATTACTAATTCCAAGGAACATTCCTTCCAGTGGCCACCTAATGACCCAAAACAAAGGAAACTCTTCAATATTCACCTCTGGTGACCTCTCTATATCACTTGCTTCTTGGAAGCATTTCACTCTACTAACCTGCCCTTCCTGGCACTCTAGAAGGTCTGTACCCCTTGAGAGCCACCCTCCCCCTTTCTCCACTCTGCTTTGTGGCCGCACGGTTGACACCCACGGACTACACCACCTGGTTTCTTCAATCCTCTGGCCTCTGTTTGTCTGGCCAATGGAGAGACCAGCCCGAGGTAAGAAAGTGGGATGAGAGACAAGTTTAACTTCTTGGATAACTTCCGCCCAGGCAACAGATGGAAGGGGCTGCTTTCCTCTCTCTTGCATCACTGGTTTGTAGGCAAACCATCACTACAGGTTTGCCTACATTCTGGTGACAACTCCCACTCTCTGTCACTTCATGTGCATCTCTTGTGACTTTCCATCGCTACTAGCCAAGGGGCATTTTACTACATTTTGGTTCTCTTAACTTTGCCCAGGACAGCATGCTAAGTCATTCCAATTGTGTCTGACTCTTTGTGACCCTATGGACCACTGCCTGCCAGGCTCCTCTGTCCATGGGATTCTCCAGGCAAGAATACTGGAGTGGGTTGCCGTTTCCTACTCCAAGGGATCTTCCCAACCTAGGGATCGAACCCCCACCTCTCACGTCTACCTGCATTGGCAGGCGGGTTCTTTACCACTACCTGGGAAGCCCACATCTTTGAAAACAGTCCTTTCATGAAATTCTTCAGTTATCCTTCTTGTGTGTGTCACTTGTTTCCTGCCAGAAGCCCTCCTGATTGCAGTTGGTTTCCATGATAGCATCCTCCCCTGGTTCTCCCTGAACCTTTCTGCTCATCCTCAGTCTCCCTTCTCCACCTGCCTCTTAGATTCTGATAAACCCAGGATTCTACCCTTGGCTTCCTCTCTTCTTTCAGTTATTCTCCCATCCTGCCACTCCACGTCTGTAGAACCCTCATTCATGATTTCCCAATCTATATATTTCTCTTATAAAATTAACAATTAAAAATTAATAATACACATGGAAGAACATTTTTAAAAATTAAGTATAAGGAATTCTTCCTACTCAGGAAAAATCATTTAACAGTTCTGTGTATTTCTTTCTAGATTATATGTTTTTAAAATTATTTTTTTTAGTATGTGTGTATGAGAGAGATTTTAAAACACACAGCACAGGATCCTACTACACATGATGTTGGAAGCTTGCTTTTCTTGAACATATTTTCATTTCATGAGTTTTAATAGTTACTTTATTATGTGAATGCACAACAATACATAATTTTCTTAATTAACTAAGTTAACAACTATTTCTTAATGGATACTGGAGTTGTTTCCAGGCTTGGTACCAAGGTAACACTGAACTAAATATATATATACATAGATATTTATTCAGATCACTGATTCTTTCTTTTTGATTAATTCCTGGTAGAGAATTGTTGGTTCCATGCAAAGAGTTTCTCTAAGGCTGTTGATGAATGTTTCTAAATAGTTTCCCAGAAAGTCTGGATCAATTTTCACACCCCCCCAGGACTCTATAAGAGCATTCACCATGCTGAATTCTTGACAAACATAGCCTATCACTAAAAGACAATTCTGTCATTTTGATATAAAATGGTATCAAATTATGTTTTTAGCTTCATACATTCGTGGGATTAAAATTCATACTCAGTATGTCTAAAACCAAACACAGAATCTTCCTCTACCCCTAATTCTTGCTCTAATGACAGTCCTTTCCGAAGAATTTCTATTTCACCTAATACAGTCTTCAATAAATCTGGTCAGCCAAACCACAGTCAGTCATTCACTAGGGTCGGTCAAATGGAGTTCTGCAATAGTTATGGACTATAATTCATTCTTATTACTGTGGTCAGAGAACTGTCCCCATGGGTAGCTACTATTATAGTTCCAATTCTTTCAAGATAGAAACTTTTTTTTTTACCATAAATGAAATAAATGCTCATTATAAAATTATCAGAAAAGGACCAAGAAGAAATATAAAAGCCACCTAAAATCTCACCACTCAGAGAAGGGCAAGTTAAAAACAACAACACTTTAAACACAAAAAGAAGCCAGCACTTCCCTTCAGAGGATAATACCACTTCCTGCAGAAACACTTTTTTTTTTTTTTTTTTCCAGAAACACTTTTAATGTTTCCTTATTTACTACAGGGAGCCTCGAGCTGTTCCTGCTCACATGACATATGTCACAGAAGAACCTAGACAGAGCAGGCTTATTGCCAGGTACAATGCTGAGAACCCTGGAACACTTAATACTTTTGCATTCCTTCAAAACTCAACTCTCTAAATAAATGTTCAAGTTAAGAAGCAGTGGAAAGTGGAGTATCTTCAAAAACAAATGGAGAAAAAGAAAAGATTCGGGGAAACTGATAAAGAAGAAGTCATTCAGTAAATGTATCAGCAGCTTCTAAACCCATATTCAAAGATGTTTATGAAAAGATATTTCTAAAACAAGAATTGTTTCCCCACTGTTTTTCCTCCCCAAACTCAAGCAGGCAACATGTTTTCTCTTCCTATACAATCTGTCTTGGGGGAGGATTTTGAAATTTCTTACATTTTGTTTCTGAATGTTCAAGTCCACTAAGAAGGATAGGGTTTGAGGACGCGAAGATTTTGGGTAAAGCATTTAGCTTCTCATTCATTTCACCTGTTAAGGGGCATCAGGTTCCTCAAGTCCTTGTGAAGCTCAAATAAAATAAAACATATGAAAATACCTGGGCTTCCTTGGTGGTTCAGATGGTTATATTTAGCAAATAGCAAAACACAATACACGTATAAGGTACTACCACTGAAACGCTGCCTTCGTATAGGACCTGTCGAGATGCTCTGTTTGACTCTTGTCACCCTGTTGTCCTGTTGGAACACTTGAGCCTCCTACCGCTCCATCCCCACCCATGTCAGTTCTAACCTGGTGCCAGGATAAGTCCTAACACGGCCTTCCTGATGTCTCTGCTTACCCGTTATAATCGGTTAGGAGGAAGGTATTGTCACTGCCATTCTCCAGGGCATAGGAGATCGGCGTCCCGTAATTCGTGTCGTCAGACGATTTCATCCAGAACGTGCAGGTTATAGCATGGAGGGACGGAAGCACACCATCCAGCATGACGTAACCATAAATGGCAGAAACTTCAAAATCCAGGTTAAAGCCTGCAGACTGTTCTGCAACAAATAAGAAAAGTATGAGAGGACATACAGATGGCCAAGAGACACATGAAAAGATGCTCAACACCAGTAATTATTAGAGAAATGTAAATCCAAACTACCATGAGGTATCACCTCACATGGTCAGGAGAGTCATCACTAAAATGTCTACAAATAATAAATGCTGCAGAGGGTGTGGAGAAAAGGGAATCCTCCTCTACTGTTTGGAAGGCAAACTGGTGCGGCTACTGTGGAAAACAGGATGGAGGTTTCCTCAAAAACCAGAACACAGAACTACCATATAACCCAGCAATTGCACTCCTGGGCATATATCTGAAGAAAAGTCTAATTCTAAAAGATACATGTGCTTCAGTGTTCACAGCAGCACACACACATACACACAAATGGAGTACTACTCAGCCGTAAAAAGAATGAAGTGAAGTGAAGTGACTCAGTTGTGTCTGACTCTTTGTGACCCCCGTGGACTGTAGCCTACCAGGCTCCTCCGTCCATGGGATTCTCCAGGCAAGAATACTGGAGTGGGTTGCCATTTCCTTCTCCAGGGGATCTTCCCGACCCAGGGATTGAACCTGTGTCTCTTGCATTGCAGGCAGACGCTTTACCCTCTGAGCTACCGGGGAAGCCTGGTAATGAATGAACTAATGCCATTTGCAGAAACATGGATGGACCTAGAGATTATCACACTAAATGAAGTAAATCATATGGAGAAAGACAAATATCATGATATCACTTATCTGCGGAATCTAAAAAAAAATGATACAGATGAACTTATTTACGAAACAGACTAACGGACGTAGAAAACAAGCTTATATTTACTAAAGAGGGTAGCAGGATAAATTAGGAGTCTGGGACTAGAAGATATAAACTACTGTACATAAAATGAGCAAGTTTAGCAAAGGGAGCTGTATTCAATATCTTGTAATATAGTCTAGGGAAAAGAATATGAAAAAGAATATATATACATGTATATATAAACATATATAACTGAGTCACTCTGTGTATACCAGGAACTAACAAAACCTTGTAAATCAACTACACTTTAATAAAAAGGAAGTATCATGGCAGTTGTGAAGCATTTTTCAATTGTCTAAAGTAGTACCAAGTACGTAATACTATCGCCAAAGAAGCTCATTTCAGTAAATATGATAATCTAGGAAGCAGTTTCAAAATTAAATACATATTGCTTACAAAATAAATAACATATTCCTTCTTTTGTGTGTCTTTTATTATTATTATTTTTATTGAGGTATAACTGATTTACAATATTAAGTAAGTTTCAGGTGTACAGCACAGTGACTCACATATTTAAAGGTTATATTCCATTTATAGTTATTACAACATACGGACTGTCTTTCCTATGCTCATCCCTGCAGCCTATTTATTTCACTCATAGTAATGTGCACCTCTTCTATCCCTATACCCACCCTACCCTCCCATCTTCCCCCTTCCACTAGTAACCACTAGTTTGTTCTCTGTATTTGTGAATCTGTTTCCTTTTTGTTCAACAAACTGTTTGAAATAAAACCAACAGTGCGTATCCAAGACAGGAGAAGCACTCTGCAGTGAAAGGAAGCTTCGAAACAGAATAGCTGGAAGGAGAGGTGGGGCTGGGGAGTCATTCAAGTTGAGACACTAAGCACCTGTGGGCTGATGGGAATAATCAAGGGAGTGGGGTAACTGACACTGCAGGAGAGAGGGGGGTCCACTGTGAGGGCAATAGTCCATTCCTGCTCAGGGCCCTGGCTCTTCCCCATTTCAGGAGCCCCAATCCTGCATATCCCACTCAACAGAACAAAAGTCCTATAGCTACAAGACTCCTATGCTCTGAGAAAGCAGTTTTAGCATTAATTCTCCAAACATATCCATGGACTCTGAACAATCTAAATCAAGTGACTTATCCAAGTGTCCTTTCTAAACACACAGAATGTGAAGAGTTCTGTTAAATTCGATTTTCTCCATTTCACCCTTGCATCTCTAAGCTCAACCTCCTCCTCTGTGCTCCTGGAGATAACATGAGCCAGTTTACTGGATGGCTGTGAAGGCTAAACAAGTACGAAATGCTTCACATAGTTTTTGGTATACAGATTGTGCTTAGTGCAGGTAAAAATTGATGTCGTTATTGTATCCCTATACTTGATATCATTCTTAACAACAATAAGCTCACATATACCTGTTTCACACCTGCTGCCTGAAAATCCTGGCTGACATTTACAGTTGTATGAGTTTAATTCATCCACACAGGTGGCCTGGTTTTTACAGGGGTTAGACTGACATTCGTTGATGTTCAACTCACAGTGCGTCCCTGTGAAGCCTGCCGCACAGTGGCACCTGAAAGAATACAAAATGTTATAACAATTAGCATAGTTGCAGAAAGGCATTAGAAGCAGCCTCCCATTAATGACAGCATCGTCTCAAAAGACTGGAAAGTTTAGTGCTAATATGAGCTCTCTTGCATGTGAAATCTAACTATATATATATGTGTATACACACCCACCCACACACACACCCATAGCCTAGAAAATAGACTAGTGGTTGCCAGAGGCATGGGGTGGGAAAAATGGGTGAATTGTTTTGTTTTCTCTTTTTTTCAGTTTAACTGAATTGTTAAAAAATCCTGACATGCTGAAACACATTTTCCACATTAAAACGGTGTTTTAACTATTACTTTTTAAAGTTCATTCAAATAAACCTATTTAAGACAACATATACTTGAAATGTTACAGTGGTAAAAAATAGAGTAGAAATTAGTTCAGGTCAAGGTGAAGTATTATTCACACGTTGGCATTTTCTCTCACCACGAAGTGCTAGGAAAAAATATAAAGAGTTCATACACTCTTCTAAACACTTATATATGCCATGCCAAGTTGCTTTAGCTGTGTCTGACTCTTTGTGACCCCATGGACTGTAGCCCGCCAGACTCCTCCACCCATGGGATTCTCCAGGCAAGAATACTGGAATGGGTTGTCATGCCCTCCAAGGGATCTTCCTGACCTAGGGACTGAACTCGTGTCTCTTATGGTCTTCCTGCATTGGCAGGTGGGGTCTTTACCACCAGCACCACCTGGAATCCCCACATACATTAATTCAATCCTTATAACGATGAAGAATATTATTATTCCCAGTTTATAATGAGTAAATTGTGGCTCAGAAAGGTTAAGTTGCCCAAGTCCTCTTGATACTAAGTTGGGGGGGGGGGACTTTGATCTCGATCAGGATGCCATACAGTCTCTGGGGAATGCAAGAAGCCATTTAAACTCCTCCAAATGGAAAATACATTGGATGATGTCAAATACTGACAGAGTGTCATGAACCATGTGGCAATGTCAAAGAAAGTGGAGGGTTTGCACTTTCAGAGCCCTGTATGTCCACTTCTAGTATGAATTCTAGGAGATGACGGTCCAGGTGTGCAAGGACACGTATAACAAATGTTCACAACAGCATCATTCTGCATGTTCATGAAGAAGTGAATGGGAAAATAAACTATGGTATATTATCCAATAGAATACTAATTGGCAGTTGAAATGAATAAACTAGAGGCAAATATATCAACATTAATAAATACACAGTGTTGAAAGGAAAAACAAAATACAAAAGGACTATATATATAGGTATATTATGATACTACTTATATTAACATGTAAAGCTATACTATTTATTATTTATGAAGTCATATATGTAGTAAAGCAAAGTCTGAATGAGAAAGCTATAAACTGACTTCAAGACAGTGGTTACTACTAGTGAAGAAGAGGAATGTGTGTGTATGTGCACACTTATTGGAGGGACTCCAAATCTATCTTTAGAATTTATTTTTGTAAAAATGAAAGATATGAACCAAATATAGAAAAAGACTAAGGATTGATCACTACTGTGGTGAGTGTATGACTTTTACTATTCTTCGTAATTTTTAGTATATCTGAAATATCTTTAATTAAAAAGGATCTGCTCAATAAATGTAGTTAATATTACTACTAGCATCTTTATATGGGGGCCTCTTTGATATTGGTAATAATATAAATAAATGGTATTTGGAGGTTTAAAAGAAAATTTCAGTTGGAATTGGTGGGCATCTTTATGGAGTTCTGTATATTTGATGGTAAACCTATTTTGGCTAGAATTTCACTCATCTTTATCTGTCCGTGCTTTTTTTTTTTTTTTTTTCTTGCAACACTTTAAAAATATTTGTTTTTTAAATTTTATAGACATATAGTTGATTTACAATGTTGTTTTAATTTCTGATGTATATCTGTCCATGTTTGATATCATTATAGTAGCTCAGTATCTCTGTGAAACAGATTCACTTCGGTGGCAACTAGCATTGCTTTTGAAGTAGGAGAGTTTGCCTTCTTCACCTTTCCTCTAGTTAGGATTTAGACAAATTTGGTATTTATCAATTGTTTTGGACCCTGGGGAGAGTTTGGAACTCTTGCTGTTCATCTGGAAATGTCTCATTGCCATATGTTTGAAGATACAAAAAAACCTATGACAAGTTGATGCTACACGAAGATCTCATTTTCATATTGACAGTGAAAGTCTCACAGGCAGAACTGGCTCCCTATTTCTTCCAGATAGTGTCCTAGCTCTCTTGGGGGATCGTAATGGAAGGGGGTTGGGAAATGTTGCAACTGAGGTAGAAATTTTTTATTTTTTTTTTGCTTTTAACTTGAAAACTTGCAGAACCAGTTGCTTGCTGAGGATAGTAAAGTTCCCTAAAATTCTGCAAGCAAAGCCAGTCTCTTTTTGTACTGCAGGAGCCACAGATCCTGCAAGGGGAAGTGAATGGAACAGAGCAGAGTTGGTAATGATTAAAAAAAAAAGTGTTGGTTTTCAAACTGCTTTCTACTGTACCCTAAGACCTGCCTCAGGAAGCCAGTCTTTCTCCTCCAAAACACCACTATTTTCAACCATAAAAGCTTAACTTTAATTTTTTTATTTGTTTACACTTTGATTTCCCTGGAAACAAGGGACACTAAAAAAAAAAGTTTGAAAACCATGGTCATAGAATGGCACTGTGACAGTAGGATTGCACTATTCCTTCTGATTTTAATTGGTGTGAAAACTCCAGCTAAAATATAAAACATTTAAAACTGGGTTTTGAATAGTGATTCTGCACTTGCTTTTGAATAAATGTCCTTCCTTTTATCTTTTATGACTTCCCAAGCATAGGATAGTGGTTTCAAAGTCTGGCTGTGCTTCAGAAACACAGGAGAGCTTAAAACATACAGATTGTCTATTATAAAATTCCAGACTTTACCCAAGAGGTAGGAAATCAGAACATCAGGTGGTAGTCAGATTCTACCATAGCTTATCCTTGGGCTAGGATTTGGGAAGGGCTGGCCTGGGATTCAAAGTAATACTCTGTAAGACAGCAGAATGACTGAACAGTTAAGATAAGAAAAACAGCAAAAAGAGTCAGGCTTAGTCTATTATTACCTGAAGCTATTGGCACCATCCTTGCAGGTAGCTCCATTTTTGCATGGTTGGCTGAGACACTCATCCATGTTTATGTCACACCGGGTGCCCAAAAATCCAGGTGGGCATTTGCACAAGAACCCCCCAAGCTGATCTTCACAGACTGCGTTATTTAAACATGGGCTTGATTGGCATTCATTGACTTCTGTTTCACAGTGTAGGCCTGGGGATGGATGAGGATGAGAGACAGCCCAAAGGTTAACCCCTTTGGAAAACTGGAATCAAGGTGAGGACTCCTTGGAGGATGCTGCTTCGAAAGGATGAAAGGGAGGCTGCAGACCGACTGGCTGACCAAACAGTTTTGGGACCTATCCCTAAATAAGTTCTGGCTTTTCTAAGTCATTTTAGGACTGTATTTTTGATAATCTGCTCTTTCCATCTTACCTTCTTCTGGAACTAACACTAGCAATGAACATCTAACTGAGATAATGTTTAAATAAAAATGAAACTAGCACATATAGTTCAAAATGTTCATCTGTATCTTTGATCTTGCCTCTTTCTATCACTGATCATTTTCTGTTTTGGACTTATTCTTTACCAGTTATATATGTGTGTATATATATACACACACACATATACATTCTATTATTTAGCATTCACTTATAATAATATTTTATATAATTCATCTCCAGTTACTTCTTGAGTGTTTGTCTTAGCATATAAACTCAAGTCTTCTCTTTCTGTCTCTACATATACATATATACACAGACATGTACAAGAACATATTACTTTTTCTGAATTGCTTTAGTCAATTTTAGACCCGATGCTCTCTTACCTCTAAATACTTGTGTGTATTTCCTCAAAAATAAGGACTTTCACTTATAAAATCATGGCACAGTTATAAAATCAGAAAATTAACATTAACTTATATAATGTCACATATATAACAGTAAATATAATGATTTATGAGGCTTTACAGAACTATTTAAAAGACAACTAGGAAGAATGAAAACATCTTACCCATGTATCCTTTCACACACATGCAGTGATAACCAGCCAGGCCATCAATGCAAGTTCCTTTATTTAAACAAGGACTGGAGCTGCACTCATTTACATTTTCTTCACATAGTTGACCTGTAAAGAATCACAGAATATTTGTACTTGACAAAACTTAAAGGAATTTAAGACTAATAGTTTCAAGCAAGTTGTTCAGATGTAAGAGCAGAGAAATTGGAAATCAAGGCTAATATGCTCGTGGAAAAATATGCACTTTGCCAAATATAATTATTTGCTGAATAATATTCCAATAAATGTTACACATAGGGCTTCCCAGGTGGCGCTAGTGATAAAGAACCTGCCTGTCAATGCAGAAGACACAATGAGATGTGGGTTTGATCCCTTCCCTCCAGGAAGATCCCCTGGAGAAGGGCATGGCAAGCCAGTCCAATATTCTTGCCTGCAGAATCCCATGGACAGAGAAGCCTGGTGGGCTACAGTCTACAGGGTCACAAAGAGTTAAGACACAACTGAAGTGACACAGCATTGAAGGATATCTACCTACCTACCTACCTCACATTTTCTTTATCCATTCATCTCTTGATATATACTTAGCTTGTTTCCATATCTTGGCCATTGGCTATTGTGAATAATGCTGCAATGAACATGGAAGTACAGATATCTCTTTGAGATAGTGATTTCATTTCTTTGAATGGATACCCAGAAGAAGGATTGTTGGATTGTATGGTAATTCTATTTCCAATTTTTTGAGGAACCTCCATGCTGTTTTCCACCACGGCTGAAGCAATTTACATTCCCACCAAGAGTGCACAATAGTCCCCCTTTTCTCCATGTCCTCACTAGCACTGTTATCTCTTACCTTTTGATGATAGCCAATCTAACAGGTGTGAGATGGCAACTCATTATTTTAAGGTTTCAAAGGTTTATATTGTAAGAATGAGACACTCCTTCCTTACCTGTGTAACCAGATGGGCATTCACAAATGAATTCTCCAACTCGGTCTTTGCAAACTCCATTGTTGTGGCAGGGCAGTGAGCTGCATTCATCAATGTCTATCTCACATTTTAAGCCTAAAATGCAAACACTGAAGGTCAATCAAAGAAAGGATGAATAGAACCGTCCCTTAAAGGTAATTATCCCAATAACCTGAATTTATAGGGAGTGGCAGTGATGAAAAAAAAGGCAATATGTTAGGAATTACCATCTAATTAAGTATTTCATGAAGGTATTACCTCTTTCTAAATAGATTTAAGCTCTCCTTACAAGGATACATAAAAGACAGCAAAAGATCCCAAGTCAGAAGCAGAGGGGATAGAGGGAAATCTGGAAGCATAAAATGGAGCCAGGAATTAGTCTGATTTCAAAGTGAAAAGTAAAAAGTCATATGTACTTGTTACCAAGGCCACTTGGCTAAGAAATGGGGGTGGTGCTAGATCCTGCCAGATCTCAACTCATATGCCAGGTGTCCTAGAATAGGGTTTATCTTTTCATAGGGTACACACAGTCTTTCTATGGACTAACTCTGATGAAACCCATATTCTTCTACATGAGGAGATCTCAAAGAAGGGTCTCTGGATCAATAGCATCAGTAATCCCCTGGGAATGTGACAGAAGTGCCACAGTCTGTGTTTTAGGAAATCCTCCAGATGATTCTGATACGCATCAAAATTTGAGAATCCCTGTCATATACTATGCTTTTCTCAACAAACTCTCGTTTATAAAATTCTAGGACAAGATTATTATTTCTTATGGAATGTTGGGACAAAAATTCTTATAAAAATTGAAACACACACACATACATGTGTGCACATGCTGAAATAAGTGGAATGACAATATTCGGTATTTTGCCTTCCAACTTCTCTTTTGTGGTGAATTCTTTTATCTAAATACCACTTTTCGCATTAAAATACTTCATGCTGGTGACACAAAACTCAAAAAGGAAAAACTGCATTTCCAGAAGAAAACAGGAAATTATTTTAAATGAGCTGCAACATTTAATATATAGTTCATTTCTCCTCAAAAAAAAAAAACATTATCTTTCTGTACTGAACTGGAATTTGAACCAAGCTGCAAGAAAACACAATTCTTACATAATTCCTACATAATCAAGTTCAAACCCATACTGTTTTCCTAAGCACAGCTTGCAGAAAGACAGAAATAAACAACACATCATGGCCATAAGAACTTCCATTCGTGTGAAACAAATGAGAGAAACTGGAATTTGTTTAAAAATGTTTATGCTAGACAATCTGTTCTAGGTTGAGTGTCATGCATTTAATTTGTGTCAGAATGCAACCTTGGACATGACCTCTGGAACCGTATTCAAATTTAAATTATAAGTTACGATGTGATTTTTTCACAGAGAAGATGATTCTTATTATTCTTCCTCCAAAACATACAAAGAAAATTGTCATTTGTAAGATCTGTATAGTTTTTTCACATATTGGTTTGTCTTGTTCAACCAAATTTTTGTGCATCATTATCTTTTTAAGTTTTTTTTTTTTTTTGATGTAGACCATTTTTAAAGTCTTTATTAAATTTGTTACAATAGTGCTTTTGTTCTGTGTTTTGGTTTTTTGGCTACAAGTTATGTGAGATGTTCAGCTCCCCAACCAGGGATCATACTTGTACCCCTCTGTCTTTTTGAAGGTTAAATCTTAATCACTAGATTGCCAGGGAAGTCCCCAGTCTGATGTATCTTATGGCATTCATCTTTAAAGTTTCAAAGTTTGATACTTCAAGTTACAATGATGCAGTATGAAAGATAACATGAAAATTTGCATTCCTCTGTGTTACCTGTATATCCAGGCAGACAGAGACACACATAACCACGGCCCAGTTGTTGGCAGGTTCCACCATTGTGGCAGGGGTTTAAGAAGCATTCATGGAAAACCTGTGAAAAGAAAATTCATCAGAGACGAGTCCATTTCAAAGCAACTCTGAGTAGGGAGTTAGAAGATTCACAGCATTAGCTGGTTCCAATTTCCAAGTGAGTCCAGTAGGACTGCTGCCTGCATTAACATTGGTACCTGCCATATACTGGCACAAATGCTATATATTATTCTTGAGTGATGCTCTGCTAAACCCAGGCAGTGTCACTCAACGCTGGCTGCATGTCAGACTTCATTTAAGGAATTTAAAAAGTTTACTAAGGATGGGTCCCAACCCAAACTAGTTAAATCAGGAATCTCTGGAAGTTATATCTGTGCATCATTATTGTAAAAAGTTAGCCAGTGGATTCTAATATGTCTCCAGAGGTGATAGCCATGTCTTTAGAGGTTCTATGTCCATTGGGCTCAGTTTCAAAGCTTCACTTATGAAGCCCTTACAAGTGAGAATGTTTGGATGCTGGAAGTTAAAATAAGATATATAACTTCATTATCCTCCTTAAAGATACTTAAAGCCTTGGAATTTATTATGACATTGGGCAAGGTGCATTCAGATTAATGGCTGAATCACTCAAAATAATTGGTCTTCACTAGTCTTTAAAAAATAAATGGAGAACAATTATGAGTTATGTTTCTTAATTTTTAAAAAAGTCACAGCTTTTCTCCAATAAATGATTCCCCCCGTTCCCGCTGGCAAAAAATCTAAATATCTTTCATGGAAGTTGAGTAACTTGTCCTGCTAATCAGAAAAAGCCTTTGGCTAATCCCAACATGCTTACTCAAATGATGGGTTATGCTCATGGTACATGATAATTATTAGCAAATCAAAAGACTCTCCACATCCATAATTCTCTACACCAGACATCACAGGGAAAAATTCCAATTTCTGGTACTTAGGACTTCTAATGGCACATTCTTGGAAAGTTCCTATTATAAGTCATAAGCAAATGTAATTATTCATTGATAATATTCATGAGCCTTGATTAGTTGAAGTTTCAAGTCTGGTAGTTTTCCTCTGTGTGACACGTATAATGACAAATTGTTTTCCAAGCACTCCATTAGAGAAAATTTTATAAGTACAAAGTAGACTTGCCTGACTGCTGACTTCATACTTCTTTTTGACATGTCCAGGAGAAGCAAGAAGTACTGTACTTTCCTCTGCTGCGGAGAAAGTTGAACTAAAGCCTAATAAAGTTAAAGGGGAAATATCTGAGAAAAGTATTTGGTGTAGTAGATATTGCCAATTAAGTGCATTCTATTTTTTTCCTTTTTTAATTGAAGTGTAGTTGTCTTTGAATATTGTGTTAATTTCTGCTGGGTAGCAAAGTGGTTCAGTTTTAATATATATATATATATATATGAGTGAATATATAACAATATATATTTGTATATATTTGATTCTTATTCTTTTCCATTATGGTTTATCATAGGATACTGGATATATAGTCCCATGTGCTATACAACAGGACCTTGCTGTTGATCCATTCTATATACAATAGCTTATATCTGCTAATCCCAACCTCCTACTCCATTCCCCCCCCCACAACCTCCTCCCATGTGGCAACCACAAGTCTGTTCTCTATGAATAGACTCTATTTAAATGCCATAGTCAAGATTTTGATTCTCAGAGTCAGTAAAGCCACATATATTTTCCTTTAGTCAAGTAAAAAGACAGAACATAAGAGACAGATGTGACATGTCATTAAATTCTAGACTCTTAGAAATTTGGAGGTTATCAAGTTCGACATTCCCAGAGTGAAGCATCGAGTCGCTGTCATCAAAAACACCTTCAAAAGGACAGCTAAACACATCCAGACACCCAAAGGCACTGAAAATAAATAATATTTGCAATTAAAGTTACCGCAGAGACAAACAAAACTCTCCAATACAGGATAAGATGAGAAATGAAGTATTATCATCTTACTGGAACAATCTGTGATGGATCTGGCACCCGTGATGGTTGTAGTTCCATAAAAAGGACAAGATAAACAGAAGGACTTCCCTGGATTGGGTTGGTAGTAGTCTTGAGGACATGGATAACAGGGCATTAACCCAGAACGAGAGAATTCTCCCACTGGACAAGGAACTGCAAAAGAAAGAAAAAACCATTTGTGCTTATAAAGCAATATACCCTACCTTCTAAGAGAAGTGCATTAACCTTTGGTTATAAGAAAGCTATCACATTGTTGATATTTTCTCTTGCACGTATTTAATACCTAGGTCATTAAGTAACACTCAGACCACTTAAGTAAATATTTTGTTGTTTCCTTTCCACCTTTAACAACACACATTAACTTAATAAAAATCAGAATTGGTCATATAATATTGTACTCCAATTTTTCCACTTTATATACAAGCAAATCATTCCCCAAATCATTAAATAACACAATGTTTAATAAATGAAATATATTATATCTCACTGGCAGACCATAATTATCTTGTATTTCCTCTACTATTGAACAACTGCAGTTGTTTCTACTAGTTCTATTTGTTTCTAATAATTTCTGATATTATAAATAATGCTGACATGAAATTTTCTATACAAATTTTTTATATAACTCTGATTATTTCCTTGGGATAACACTTGGCTTTAGTTAAAGCTAAAGATATGAAAATCTAAAGCCATAAGTATACCATGCTTGAATCATTAAAAAAAATGTAATTTACAACCCCATCAGCAGTATATGAAATTACCCTTCTCAATGCATGCTCATCAGCATTGAAAATGATCTTTTTTCTATTTGAAGGTAAAAATGGAACTGCTCTGTTAATTTGCATTTTCGTGATACATGAAGTTGTATTTTTTCCAAGTATGAAATTCTCTTGCCAACCTTTGGTGGAATACGAGAAAAGGTCCCCAGGCTTCCCTGGTGGCTCAGTGGTAAAGAACATGCCTACCAATGTAGGAGACAGGAGTTTGATCCCTGGTTTGGGAATATCCCACAAGCCACAGAGCAACTAAACCCATGCACCACATCTGTTAGGACAGTGCTCTAGAGCCCAGGAGCCACAGCTACTGAAGCCCATGCGCCCCAGAGGCTGTGCTCTGCAACTAGAGAAGATACCGCAATGAGGAGCCCAAGCATCACAATTAGAGAACAGCCCCTGCTCACTGCAACTAGAGAAAAGCCCAGTGAAGTAGCAAAGACCCAGCACAGCCAAAAAATAATTAGATAAATAAATAAAATTAAAAAGAAAAGAGCTCAAAACCTAACATGGATTTTCTTCAATAAATTTTGGTTACATTTGGCGGAGGGGCAGTGAGAATGATTATCCATGACTAAATCTGTGGGTTGGGGTTTTAGACAATGATCCAAAGACAAATTCAGGTGGAGTGTGTGAACTGGAGTCATTTGGGTGAGCCCGAAAGTCATTACAAGCTGAGAAAACTACTGTAACTATTAAGACCTATCTGTATAAAATTAGGCATGGAAGATAGAACACAGGGAAACAGCTACTCAGTGTATCAGCATACTTACCCTTTAGGTCTTGGATTCTTGATAACAAAAATTAGTTTAGCAGAAATAATTACCAACAAGGTTTAAAGAGTTAGACATACACTTGAGGCTCAAGGGAGCAGGATACTCCAAGTGGCGGCATCTCTCTATCGGTAGGACAATAAACATTAAATAAATGACAACACATCTGTCATAATCTCAAGATGCTTAGATCAAATTTCTTAAGCAAAAACAGCCAGCCAAATCTTTTGCAAAAGATCTCTTTTACATACCCAACTGACAAAAACTCAGGAGTTGAATCAAGAGATGGCAGAAGATAACACAGATATTAATGCATATTTAGAAAAAAAATTCTGGTGGGTACATTTGCCACATTCAAGAAAAGTTTTAAACTCTAAATTATCTTTGTTTCACCAGGAATAAAATAATCTACTCTGTTACTAGAGGTAACAGAGGCTTTGCACAAAACATAAACTTACAGGAGTTTATAAAGAATTCCTCATTCTCAAATTTCCAAAAATAACTGCCTATTTAGAAGAGGTATTAATACTTGCCAAAAACCTAATTATTAATAGTTAACTGAAAGCATAAATCTTCTACTGGAAAAAGCATAAATTTTCTGTTTGAAAAGATATCTATGAATGTGTATCATATGCTAGAAACATAAATGCTGCCTGTAAAACTCAAGATGCTATAATGAATTAAACTATTTTTTTAATATAATTTTTTCAGTACAACCTCACTCTTAAAAAGAAAATAAGACTGTGCCCTAAAACCTGACAGAATTATACTGTCAGCTGTAGTATATAATTATACTTTAACAGTCAAAAATTATACTAACACATAATAATAAAATCTTAAGATTAAAACTCAATAAGCCAGTTGGCATCTCAAAAGAGCAAACATGGTACTGTGTTGTCTATTCTATGCTTTTTGATCCAGAAAGTGCAAAATAAACTTTCGTGTGGAAATTAGTTTAAATTACATTCCAAGGGCAAACAGGTGTCATCACAAATGTACTTTCTAAGAGTGGATAATCAGAATTTAATATATAATTTATATATTTAGTTAGTACATACACATGCACACATGTGGTGCTAGTGGTAAAGAACCCGTCTGCCAATGCAGGAGATGTAAGAGATGTGGGTTCCATCCCTGGGTAGGGAAGATCGCTTGGAGGAGGATGTGGCCACCCACTCCAGTATTCTTGCCTGGAGAATCCCATGGACAGAGGAACCAGGCAGGCTACGGTGCACAGGGTTCCAAAGAGTCAGACATGACTAAAGTGACTTAGCACGCACTCATACAACACATGAATGTATAAACATACACATATACATAATAATAGCACTATCTACTACAGTATTAAATATACAGACATTGACACATACATGACACAGTTCTCAATGGATTAACATCATAAGGAAAGAGGGGAGAAAGCTTTTGTTTTGAATCTTGGACAAAGAAACTATGGTTTCTAAGTCAAGAAAAATGAAACAAAATCCTTTTCACCTCTTCTATTGCAGAGAAGGAGAGAAAATATTTAAATATGCCAAAAGTGATATAAAAATAGAATTAAAAATAGAGCACTGAAATGAACAGGAAAAAATGTAACCCCACACACCTGTCCCCTGATGGTATAAAGGGAAAAATTTAGTTTTAGAGACACTAGTTTCTGATGACAAAGCCAGAAGTCAAAGCCTGTCATTCTGAGCCTCCTTTTAATTTCATCCTAGAGGGTCAAGGTAAGGGGTGATGTTATCTTGTTCCACAAATAATCTTTCCTTCTATTGGGACCACATGTAAACCACACCATCACCAAAAACCCATTTGTGGGACTTATTGTTTTGGTAAAAATCTTTTTAAAATATGAAAAATTTCAGACTCTTGTAACCAAAACTCAAGACTGTTAACTAAGGACTCAAAACTGTTTAATATCCTAATACATGATGATAGGTGAAATGTATAAAGAATATTACGTTATACTAACATAGTTATACTTGTCCTTGTTTAGTTGCTAAGTTGTGTCTGACTCTTTTTGTGACCCTATGGACTGTAGCCTCCTAGGCTTCTCTGGCTATGGGATTCTCCCAGGCAAGAATACTGGAGTGGGTTGCCATTTCATTCTCCAGGGAATCTTCCTGACCCAGGGATTGAAGCTAGGTCTCCTGCACCACAGGCAGATTCTTGACTACTGAGCCACTTAGGTAGCCCAACATAGTAATATACTTAAATATAATCACTATATTTATTTATGATGTTTTAAGTTCAAAGGCTAAATAATGCAAAAAGTGATACGTCAGCAAAAAATAAGGTAAACTGCACAACATGCCCATAAAAATAAACCAGTACAGAAAGAAAAAGAGGAAAAGGAGAGAAAGATGGGGTGGGGACAGAAAGGGGGCTGATTGAAAACTACAGAAATATATATGAGGGACTATTCTAGAACTCACACACACTTTAAGTAAAAACAAAACGGTGCTTATCTAGCACCACAGGGGAAAGTATCATTACCAATTGCTACTTATATTCCACTCACGACAAGTAGAATATGGTTAAACATATGCTAGGAATATTAGAAATAGAGCAGTTACCAGAAGTTTAAAGATTTTCTGGGAATTACAATTTCTTAATTGCAGCAATTTGGTATGAGAAAACCTCAAGGCTTGTTCGGAAACTTAAAGGAAAAATTGTCAAATACGAACTTATTTCACTGTGAAAATCCCAGTTGGCTTTTGCAGTTGGAGGGAGGGAGGAAGGGAAAGAGAGAACACTTATTTTTCCTGCGGACTTTGTTCCAAAGTTAGACTGTATACTGACAAAATGAGAGAGTCTTTGGTAGATCTCTTTTAACCATAATGTGAGGTTTTGTCTGACTTTCAATTAAAAAAAAAAAATCCACAGCTGGTATTACACAACACACATGGTTTATGAGTTTCAAGTAGTTCCTAGCTAATCTTTCTTCTCATTTCTGCAGTGAAGCATTAGGTTGATGAACACTTTTTGCCCAGTTCCTCATGTCTAAGAGGCTCTCATCTACTGTGATTCTGGTTCTGAGATTCAAACAGATGCAGCATATAAAACATATATTTAGGGTAGCACTTAACTTACGGGGACTACAACTCCCAGAACGCAATGCTGGACATCCCCTGCCCCCTGCCCACATCTGCACTCAAAACATCCTAAGTATTTATTTTCTAGGAAGCTCAGTCTCTGACTGGATACAGATGTATATATGTGTGTGTAGCTTGGGGAAATCAGGAACCACCAGACTGGCTAATAAGCCACTGATGATTAAAAACATCACTCATTCAATAAGGGAAGTTTTTACACTTTCAGATTGTCATGCATATGTGCTAAGTCGTTTCAGTTGTGTCCGACTCTGTGTGACCCCATGAACTGCAGCCTGCCAGGCTTCTCTGTCTGTGGGATTCTCCATGCAAGAATACTGGAGTGGGTTGCCATTCTTTTCTCCAGGGGATATTCCCCACTCAGGGATCAAACTCATGTCTCTTAAGTCTACCTGCATTGGCAGGTGGGTTCTTTACCTCTAGTACCACCTGGGAAGTCCAGACTGCCACAGGTCTTGGGTTTTTCAATAAGGATATACAGAATGGGTAGGACACACTATTTTTTAAAAAGTCATCTTTTGCCAGGCATGCTTGTTCTGTTCCCAGTGGTATAACAGATGGAGGTCAACAACTTTTTATTTTTTGCAAAGTTCCCCTTGCATTCCTATACACTAACAATAAGAAAACAGAAAGAGAAATTAAGGAAACAATTCCATTCATCATTGCAATGGAAAGAATAAAATACTTAGGAAAATATCTACCTAAAGAAACAAAAGACCTATATATAGAAAACTATTAAACACTGATGAAAGAAATCAAAGAGGACACAAATAGATGGAGAAATGTATCATGTTCATGGATTGGAAGAATCAATATAGTAAAAATGAGTATAATACCCAAAGCAAACTATAGATTCAATGCAATCCCTATCATGCTACCAATGGCATTTTTCACATAACTAGAACAAATAATTTCACAATTTGTATGGAAATACAAAAACACCTCAAATACCCAAAGCAATCTTGAGAAAGAAGAATGGAACTAGAGGAATCAACCTGCCTGACTTCAGGCTATATTGCAAAGCTACTACAAAGTCATCAAGACAATATGGTACTGGCACAAAGACAGAAATATAGATCAATGGAACAAAATAGAAAGTCCAGAGATAAATCCACGCACCTATGGACACCTTATCTTCAACAAAGGAGGCAAGGATATACAATGGAGAAAGGACAATCTCTTTAACAAGTGGTGCTGGGGAAACTGGTCAACCACTTGTAAAAGAATGAAAGTAGAACACTTTCTAACACCTAACCCTAACTCAAAATGGATTAAAGATCTAAATGTAAGACCAGAAAATATAAAACTCCTAAAGGAAAACATAGGCAAAACACTCTCCAACATAAATCACAGCAGGATCCTCTATGACCCACCTCCCAGAATATTGGAAATAAAAGCAAAAATAAACAAATGGGACTTAATTAAACTTAAAAGCTTTTGCACAATGAAGGAAACTATAAGCAAGGTGAAAAGACAGCCTTAAGAATAGGAGAAAAAAATAGCAAATGAAGAAACTGACAAATAATTAATCTCAAAAATATACAAGCAACTCCTGCAGCTCAATTCCAGAAAAATAAACGACCCAATCAAAAAATGGGCCAAAGAACTAAACAGACATTTCTCCAAAGAAGACACACAGATGGCTAACAAACACATGAAAAGATAGGACATGGAAGCAACCTAGATGCCCATCAGCAGACGAATGGATAAGAAAGCTGTGGTACATATACACCATGGAATATTACTCAGCCATTGAAAACAATGCATCTGAATCAGCTCTAATGAGGTGGGTGAAACTGGAGCCTATTATACAGAGTGAAATAAGCCAGAAAGAAAAACACCAATACAGTATACAAATGCATATATATGGAATTTAGAAAGATGGTAACAATAACCCTATACCCAAGACAGCAAAAGAGACATAGATGTATAGAACAGTCTTTTGGACTCTGTGAGAGAGGGCAAAGGTGGGATGATTTGGGAGAATGGTACTGAAACATGTATATTATCATATGTGAAACAGATCACCAGTCCAGGTTCAATGCATGAGACAGGGTGCTTGGGGCTGGTGCACTGGGATGACCCAGAGGGATGGGATGAGGAGGGAGGTGGGAGGGGGGTTCAGGATGGGGAACACATGTACACCCATGGTGGATTTATGTCAATGTATGGCAAAACCACTACAATATTATAAAGTAATTAGCCTCCAAGTAAAATAAATAAATTTATTTTTAAAAAATTACATTGAATTTGCAATGTCACTGCAGGATTTTTTTTTTTTTTTGGAGTTTCTGGCAATAGGCTGACATTGATTTGTCAAATGGAGTCCCACCATCATTCTAAGTTTTCATCTTTTACTTTCGTTTCTGTCTTCCAGTTTTTACACTGCTGGAAAGCTGTACCTGGTAAGGATGGTAGAACTATTTGAAACTCTAATCTTCATATTTCTATCTTACCAGTGGCTCTCAGTGTGTGGTCCGTGGACCAAGCAGAATCAGCATCACCTGAGAACATCCAACACTTTGTGACCCCATGGACTATACAGTCCATGGAATTCTCCAGGCCAGGATACTGGAGCGGGTAGCCTTTCCCTTCTCCAGGGGATCTTCCCAACCCAGGGACTGAACCCAGGTCTCCCACATTGCAGGCAGATTCTTTACCAGCTGAGCCACAAGGGAAGCCCAAGAATACTGGAGTGGGTAGCGTATCCTTTCTCTAATGGATTTTCCCAACCCAGGAATTGAACCAGGGTCTCCTGCACTACAGACAGATTCTTTCCCAACTGTGCTATCAGGGAAGCCTGAGAACTAGGTAGAAATGCAAATTCTCAAGGCCTTTACCAGACCTGTTGAAGTAAAAACTCTGGGGCGGCCCCAGGAACCCATGTTTCAACAAACCCTCCATGGTGACTGTTGAGAACCAAAAATTAGTCATATTTTAGAATCACCTGGGGGAACTTTGGGTTTCCCTTGTGGCTCAGTGGTAAAGAATCTGCCTGCAATGAGGAAGACACAGGTTTGACCCCTCAGTCGGGAAGATCCCCAGGAGAAGGAAATGGCTACCCACTCCAGTATTCTTGCCTGGAGAATCCCAAGGACAGAGGACGCTGGTGGGCTACAGTCTATGGGGTCACAGAAGAGTCAGACATAACTTACCAACTAAACAACAACATGGGGAGATGGGGGGGATCTTCAGAAGAAAACCAGTAAACTTACACCAGAATTATCTGGGGGTTGGAGATTGGGCTTCAGAATTTTAACATGTTACTGACTGGGGCATTTTTTGCAGAAATTAACACCTGCGGCCCAGTGATGTTATGTAAGTGAATACTGAAACATTCTGGTCAACAGTGTTCAGGTAACAAAAGATGTACTAACATGTCTCTAGTCAATAAGTGGCTACAATACTGATATGAATGTGCAATGAATCTAGTAGGCAGCCAGAGTGGATAAGCACTGCTGAAAATCTTCAGACTGTAAGGAACAAAGGTCACAATCCAAAAGATATATTTTTTGAGTTTCAAGGAACGTAAGATAAGACCTCATTTTATACATGAAAAATCCAAGTTCCTGGTTGACAAGTATTTCTCTCATACCATGTGGTCACATGCTTACTGGTGTTGAGGGCTGGGACCAAGTCATGTGCTTCTTGTGTGTCCCTAACGGTACCAGGGTGGTGTTTATACTACGGGTGTTTACACTTAAGTACCGACTGGCTGAATATAAGGAGACGCTCTATGAGGACAGTTATTTACATTCTTCGCATATAGCAGACATACGGCTCTCCTAACAAGATTCCACTATTCCACGCACAGGCTTGCACAGGCTTGGGGGGAAAAAAAAAAGCAATGTGTAAGACTTAACCTCCACAAGCAGAAATATCCACGGCTCCTCTCTTCACAGTTGAAGTGTTTTCTGGACATAAGAGGCACCCCCGGGAACCAAACGCTGGCTGATAGCTGCCCAGTGGACACGATTCGCATGTTTCAAGCCCATTTGATGAGTAGGTGCCTTGTTTACACTGAGCTACAATGAAAAATGTAATATGGTTAATAATAATGACATCAACTGTACAAAAGTAGCACTGTGTACAATAGGGTTTTCCATATTTTGATTTATTTTGGATAAAATGAGGGTCATAAAGAACTCCAAGCAGACACATTATCTTTTAGATTCTTCATACTTCTGTATACTAATAAGTTATAGGCTCATTTCCAGCTCCTTCTATTATGACCTAGCATGGTGTTGGACACATAGAAAATGTCGATAAATAGTTTTGGGGTGAAGTTAGAAATCTGCATCTGACAAGGTCAAGCTGTTACAGGGAAACTTGCTTTTGTACAAGTTCCCAGCCTGTACGCTGTTCTCTTGAGTGACAGAAACAAAACTCACAATTGGCCTTTCATTTCGTAACTATGCTGGTACCATTTTCACACTAAATAAGAACTGGCCCTCTTACCTCCTCGTGCTTACAGACACCATTTCATTTGAGGGTTGGCAGAGGAGGAAGTAAGAGCAGTCTTAGCATCAGGCCCAGGGAGGTGAATTAAACAACCTTCCAAAATGCACAGCAATGGTTTTGTAGTCGAGTGGGCCTCGGGCCAGATTCCTCCACTCCCAGTGCACTGTCCTCTTCTTCTGCCCTTTTCCTCCAGATTAACCTCACTTTCAGCACTGCCAACATTTTCAGGGCATTTGCAGTCACCCAGCACTGCTCTCAAGCTCACGTGTGTCACGAAGCACCCACACCTGCGCTGGAAGCAACAGGCAAGGAGGATCCACCCTGCAATTCCTTCTTTTAGGTGCATCTTAACCATAATGTGAAAGAGAATGTTTCCATTTGGAATGGTCATTGAGAATAACAGTAACAGTATTTTGGAAAGATTGGATACTTTAGTAGCAAGAATATGTGCATATGGGTCTGTGGTTATTCATTTCCAAGCAAATGGAGTTAATCTCATCATATCAAATATTATTCAAACAAAATGCAGCCCAATGCTTGCTAAGAGTCATGAAAGTCCCTTCCACCAGTTAATGTGAGATTCACTAAAACACATGGAATTAATTGATGAAAACAGGTTAAAGTTCTTGACAGTGGAGTCTGATTTAGACAGCAATAGGCTGTTCCAAAAGGAAGATAAATGGACTTCCCTAAGTGAGGGAAACATTCAAGTAATAGCTTATAATTGAAAGAAAGAAAAAAAATCAGTTAATAAAATTGCTTTAATTAATTTAATCCTATTTGCTAGTGAGATTTCCTAAGTGGAAATCCTATTTGCTAGCGAGATTTCCTAAGTGGAAATAAAATTCAGGCTTCTGGTCTAAGCCTCTACCTTTGCATTCCGAGCTGCTCCTTGAATGGAGATATTCGGTGTAAGTTCCAGTCGGACAAGGTTTGCACTCAAGCTGCCCTTCTTCATCTTGATAGGAGCCCATCAAGCAACTCTCACAGACAGAATGCTCCAGGGAATAGTAGGTTCCCAAAGGGCAGTTGACTGAAAATAAGCAGGAAACACTGAATATTGTATGGAACATACTTTTTTCCCCTAGGTATGAGACTAATAAAGCCTGCTTCCAGCTACTATTGTTTATGATTTAAATTTAACTGTCAGAGGTTTATTCACAAGATAAACCTTCCATAAATGCAGTCCTCTACACAAGCAGATTTTTTTTTTTTTTGAGAAAATGCAAATTCTTAACTGACCAAGCTTACAGCTTATAGGATGGGGGCTTTGAAGTATGGGTTAAAGCATACACCAGATCATTCTGGAAACACACAGCTAATGGAAGAAAAGAATAAAGCAGTTAATTTGGGGCTTTGAGATATTAAAAAATGGTTTCTTAGCTGTTCTGAATGGTTTCCCTTATGAAACTGTCCATTATAGCATCACTTCTAGAAATAAAAACAGACAAGGGTGGTGAGCTTAGAACAAATGAGTTAAGTCGACCCCTCTTCCTGCTCAGACTGCTTGCACTGAAGCCAAGTGCAAGTCTGAGGCATCCTTAGACCCAACCCCCCCGCGGAAACTGGCCAGTTTCAAAACCTTCCTCCCCTGGAGATTTGGTCTACTATTTTGGCAGGCTTGGAGTGCAGAATTTCTGAAATCAAAGTGGGATATTAAATTCCCTGAGAGGTTGCTATCAAAGTTAGTATTCTTACAGAGAGAACACCTGAAAGAATCACTTGGGTGATTCTGAGGTGTTAATGGGTGAAAGAATTATCAGGCAACTTACTAAAATTTCAGATTCCAAGGACCTGACCCCAAAGGGTCAGAGACATCCCTTGTGGATTGGGACCTGAATCAAGCTGCGATTTGACAAGCACTTCAGGGGATGCTGACACAGGTAGTCTGAAGGCCACACTAAGAACTGCAAAATGCTGGCCAAGGCAATTCCTGATTTTTACTCACAAGTTGAGAAAGAAACAAGAGGAGGCTCAGAATGACAATATTAATGTGCTTTTGATGAGCTGGGTTTATTCCAGTGTGAAAAATCTAGCTGAGCTCTGGGAATAGCAATGAGAACTGTTGATGAAGGTTTTCTGACCAGGACACAATATCCCCCACTATAGAGAGATTAACAGAAGCCTCATGTCATTTGGTTCTGTTTGAGCACATAGATTTTGCTTGGAGGAGACTCTGCTGTCTATAAATGATGACTCACTTAGGAAAGAGACTGGAATTGACTCAGATGTGACAGTCTAAAGTCAGAGTAAAAGCTAAGGGACTGGGTGGGGGGAGGGAGAATGGGGACTGGCACTTTAATGGGTCTGGGGTCTCCTTTGGGGGTGATGAAAATGTTTTGGAACTGTGATAGAGGTTTTGGTTGAATGTCACTGTGACTATACTAAATACCGCAAACTGCATACTTCAAAACAGTTCATTTTATGCTATGTGAATTTTGTGTTGGCTGCCTGGGTGGGTATATCAGCTAAGTCACTTATTGTCTTAAAAGACCAAGTTCTTAGCCTCTTGGCTTTGGTTTTCTCATGCATAAAATCTACTTAATAGTAATGGTACCTCATACAGTAGCTAAACAGGATTAAACAAGACAGGGTCTCAGTCAGCACACAGAGGTGGTCAGAAAAGTCTTAGTTTTTGTTACTGGTGTTGCTGCTGAAAGCTGTGAGGTCTAAAGATCTATAAATAAAACTAAGATTTTAGTCCCTTACCTCAAGTAATCTTATCCTGACCAATAGTGGTTATCTAGACTTTTGAGACAAAAGGCATGTAACAATAACAAAATGTCGGTTTCATGACTATACCCCTTCACAGCTGTAGGATGACTGTAGCTGTGTCATCTGACCCAAGAGGCACCAAATATTTTTGGTGACAGGGAGAAATCTTACCACACATTCGGCCTCTCAGCACGGAGCCTGGTCTGCAGAAGAGGAAAGCCTTTTCTGTTTCTAAGGAATTGCTGTCAGCTACAAGCATTTCAGAGGCAAGCTGAAAGGAATACATGGGCTCCTTAGTAAGGGTCCTTTTCAGTCGATTTGTGATAGTTTCCAACGTCTTAATGAGCCGCTGCTGATTTTCCAATTCAAGGGTATCGTTTCTTTCATCGGGTAATGGCACACTAGCTGAGATAAAAACAAAACAAAAGAAAACATAACACACACACATGCCGTGTTGCAGCAAACCATTTGGAGTGAGTTTCCACCCTAAAAAAATGACTTGCATTAACTTTAAAAATGCACTCCAATATACAGTAGGTGCAGACAAATAGTGTTTGATTCCACTTATACGAGGGACCTAGAATAGTCAAATTCAAAGTCAGAAAGGACAGTAGTAGTAGATCCTGGGGTCAGGTCTGGGGTGGGGAGCGGGAATGGGGACTTACTGTTTAATGGTGATAGAGTTCCAGTTTAGGAAAGTGAAAAATCCAGGAGATAGATGATGGTGGGAGATGATGCATGTATTTAATGCCACTGAATTGTACAGTTAAATATGGTTAAAATAGTATGTTTTATATTTTGTGACTTTTAAATCACAATTAAAAAAACACTCCAGGAAAGATACACACAAATTTAAATATTATTTACTGAGTAGCTAGTATATAGAGAATATTAAGAACAACATGTTTTGTTTTAATCCTTCTGTTCTATGCTGGATTTATATCACCATTTTGTAGAGTTCTTAATGATTACATATTCAGTTCCAGCTAACTCTCATTTTTTAAAAACAGGCCTCAGTTCATCATGTCAAGATGAATATGAAGCTGGGGGCCTGTTGCTATGAGAATCGTAAAATATATCTGTGATATTATGAAAAATAATAGAACAGGTGACTGCACTTGCCCTAATATACAGTTCCAGGGTAATTTCCTAATAATGACAACACATAGAAAGTTTGAAAATAGATCTCCAACCAAGAATTTTCTATTAACCTTTTCAAACAGACAGTCTATTCTTACCTGTGATGTTAAAAATTAACCTGATTTTGTGGTCAGATAATGGGGCACTTCTTTCTACCCGTGAAGACCTGGCTTTGCCAGCACCCGTGGGTGTTTCTCGCACTGTGTCCTGGAAGTCACCATATGAGTAATCCAGCCTGTTGGCTGCACCCCAGCCACCAGGTCCTGAAAAGTTGGAGCAGAGAAACAAAAGATTGAAGAGCTGCATCTTTATCAGCTTTTAGGGTCTAATGTTAAGCCACAAATTACATTGTCTTTGATCACTATTTAAATTGCCCATAATGTTCTACATATAAAGTTTTTGCCTGTAATTTTATACTGTAATTTTGGGCACTTCATATTAAATTTAGATTAGCAATGAACAAGGAAAACTATTTATAGAGCAAACCATTCTATCTTTGGCCTAATAATTAATTATCATAGGTTTAGACGAAACAGGAGGTGGGTATAGATTTCTATTTCCCTTCAGGGTTTGTTCCATTCTTGTCTTTTTTAATATGAGTGTCATAAACTGAATGTGCATAATCAGATTTCCCTTTGTGAAGATTATTCAAGATATTTGCATATCTGTATATTTTAAATATAAACAAGCTGTATTTAACAAAGCTAATACTTTGTGTATATTATTTGCTAATCATTTTTCAAATTTTCTCAACAATACATTATATAATATTTCTGTGTCAAACAGTTTAATATCTTTTTCTGTAGCTATACTAGTTTCTGAGGGCGGCATATGAGTTGAATGTTTACACACTTAAGAAACTGCTGGAGGCAGCGTGCCGTGCCACGCTTAGTCACTCAGTCATGGCAGACTCTTTGCGACCCCAGGGATCGCAGCCTGTCAGGCTCCTCTGTCCATGGAATTCTCCAGGCAAAAATACTGGAGTGTGTTGCCATGCCCTCCTCCAGGGGATCTTCCCAACCCAGGGATCAAACTCAGGTCTCCCACAATGCAGGCAGATTCTTTACCATCTGAGCCAGCAGGGAAGCCCATGAATACTGGGGTGAGTAGCATGGTTGTATGTGTTTCTTTAGATGCCTTCCATATCACTGTGATCAACTGCGTGGACTCAGATTGTAACTTCTTGATAAATGATGTATGGCTGTACAATCTTAATCAAGCTACTTTCATTACTCTGAATCTCTGTTTCTTTATGTCTACATTGAGATCATTATTCCCACCTTGTAGGTCTGCAGAATAACTGAGCTAATTCATGCAAACTAGCTCATATTTGACTCATTCTAAAAGCTCGGTGAGAGTAAATATTAATATTGATGTAGGCATGCTGTTGTTGCTTAGTTATGTGCTTTAAACATCAAATCTATTTATACAGGTTTGTCCACTTAAGTAAGTTGGTTTTTTAGTTTCTTTTTTAGCTTAATTCATGCTTTCAGCCATTTAAAAAGAACTGGGAGGAATAGTTTTATTTTTCACTTAAACATTTTTCCCTACAAGTGTCATGTAGTCATTATAAAAAACACAACACAGAACCCCAGAGGAACAGAGAAAAATGTAAAAGATTGCCTATAATTCCACCACACAGAAATAATGACCATAACATTTTAGCCAAGAATATTTTCTACGAATATATAAACACACATACATATTTATGTGGCAGGGGAGGTGGGCAGGGGAATTCCCTGGTAGCTCAGATGGTAGAGTCTGCTTGCAATGCAGGAAACCAGGGTTTGAGCCCTGGGTGGGGAAGATCCTCCGGAGAAGGAAATGGCAACCCACTCCAGTATTCCTGCCTGGACAATCCCATGGATGGAGGAGCATGACAGGCAACAGTCCATGGGGTCACAAAGAGTCGGACATGACTGAGTGACTTCACTTGCTTTCTTTATATATATATATACAACTAGAATAAATATACACATACTGTATTTTTAACAAAATAAGATCATACTATATGTATATTATTTGCCAATCACTTTTCAAATCTTCTCAACAATATAATATTTCTGCATCAAATGGTTTCATATCTTTTTCTATAGCTATACTACAAACTAACCAAGTTTCTATTTTCAGACGTTGAGGTTATTTCAAAATTTTAGAACATCCTTGTGCATACTCTATGCCATAAAAGACACCATCAGTGAGAAGACATCACCCAATTCCATAAATACCCAAATGAAAAATGTACATCTTAGAATTTATAAAATATGATACATGTTTGTACATTAGTATGACTTCTATCTTGAGAAATATCCTCAGATGGGTCTGAGCATTTTTAACCCTTTAGTTACATATTGCCAAATGCCCTTCAATTTCTTCTCTATACACAATATGTGAGTATGATTTTTATCTCATGACACCCTTGCCAACTCTGGGTATTGAGATTTTTACTCAAATTTGTTAACCTGACAGATCAAAAATGGCATCTCATTTTAGTTTTAATTTGAATTACATGATTAGTATAAGATCTAGCCATTTTGGTATATTTATTGGCCCTTTATTTTCCACACATTATGACATGCCAAGGTGTTATAAATATTACTGATTTTGTGAGTGGTGTAAAGACACTTGAGGAAGAAGGTTCACCTCTTAGGATCACTTGTATCACTTGCACCATACGGCATTCAGATTCTTACAGGATGACAAACATCACCCATCACAAAGTCTCATGATGATAGCTGACTCACTCTGTGTAGCCCTGGACCCTTGCAACCTACCTCAACAATCCGGGGGCAGTGGGGACCTGGGTCACGTGTGACAGAAGAGGCATTGATATTCTAGATGTGCCACTAGGCATTCTTCTTCTAGACATGCCACTGCCAACTCCCCTGCCAAAGCCACTTTGTGTTTTTCTGTCTAAAACTTTAACTTCCATTATGTTCACAGAGAAGTTGTATATAATTGTTAAAATTGGAAAGCAACTTAAAGTCTACCAATAGGAAACTGTTTATATAAATTATGGCAAATTGATAACATATGTAGCCATTAAAACTGTACGGAACTTCAACACTTGTGTATTCAAAATGGATAACCAACAAAGATCCACATACAGCACACGGAACTCTATTCAATGTTATGTGGCAGCCTTGATGGCAGTGGGGGTTTGGGGGAGAATGGATAATGTATATTGATGGCTGAGTCCCTTCACTGTTCATGTGAAACTATCACAACATTGTTAACCAGCTGTACCCCAATAGAAAATAAAAAATGCAAAAAACTGCATTGAAGTATAATATTTATAACATAAAAGTATCCTCAATAAAATATTAACTAGAAATTCATGTTTATGAAATAGTATGGGTCTACACACAAATGCAGTACAGTAATATAACGTTAATATAGTAACAATTATTTCTGGAACTGCAGGTTATCTTAATTTCATTCTTTTTTTTAGTTTTTAATTTTAATTCTTTAATTCTTCTTCATTCTTTATTTTTCAAATATTTGCAAAAAAATATATGCAGAAATTATATTTTTCAATTTAAAAACTCTAAAGCAATAGTCAATATCACTCTTAATGCTAAATCACTAAGAGAAATATGATTAGTGTCAGAAACAAAAAGAATGTCCACTGTCATGTGAATTAATACTGCTTCAAATAATCTTCTAAGCACTTTATTATTCTTGTACTTCCTCATTTAATCCTTACAACAGCCGTATGAGTTCAGCACTCTTATATACCCAATTTAAAGATGAGAAAATTGAGGCACAGAGTGATTTGAGAACTTAAGTTCTTCCCCTGCCTCCTAGTAGGGGGGTAAGCCAGGATTCAGACATTTACTAGTTGGTTGCAGAGTTCATGTATTTAAACGGGACCGTATCATCATTGTGTTCTAAAACATTACTGTGCAAGTTCTGTAGAGACAGTCTTATAAGAATGAAATAAAAACAGGTATAATTACTGAAAAGGACAAAGAAATCCCACAACACACTTTGGAGTACACTTAATAAAAGTTGTATGTCAATTATATCTTAAATAAACAGAAGAAAAAAAGGTTCAGCGTCTACATGAAGAAAACATCCAAATTCTACTTGAAGGTATATCAGACTTGAATAGATTGAGTCTTAACATATTATAAGTGAGGAATGTGAATATTTTATGTTTATAAATAGAAATATTTACTATTTTGAACAAATGACTTACTTGCAATTTAAGTTAAATGCCATATAAAAATTGCTGTTAGTACTTTATTACTATTGTAAGATATCATGCAAAGATTTGAATTTTACAATCACAATGTGACTTGGTTTTCTTAGTATTTATCATCCTGAAGCATTCTGACTAATATTTTGAAAGAATTACATATCCATAAAGATCATTATGTATAGGATCAGGTTATCTAGTCATCCTAGAATTCTTGATGAATAAATAAGTGAAAGGTCATTTTTTTTTTCTATTTTGCCCCACTCTTCTGTAATGATTTTCTTAGTTTGCACAACAGTTTTCCCAACTACCCACACCAAATAATTTCATTACCGATTGCAAAGCCATTTTCATAGTCATAATTATATTCGAGGCAGTATTTTTTGGTCAGATCCTCCAGTCTGCAGTCAATGTCATCAGCATCACTACAAAATGACGGGACCTGCAAATAAAAAATGAAGAGGACAAACTCTGCTTCACATCTGGGTGTGCCTTGGATAAGCTCTATGCTCCTGTTCCTCATGTCTCCATCAGCAGGAAGGAAGAAAGGACCCCAGAGTGCTCCCTGTCCTTAAAAAGGCTCCTGATCCTCCTCCTTGCCCTCCCCCCCACCTCCTCTCAGCACAGTGGACCACCAAGATCAGTCTCAAGCCTTTTCTCTCTGTTCACATCACTTATCACAAGAACTCAGGACATCCGGGATATCTGTCTCTGAATTTTCACCCCAATTGAGTTTTTTTTAATTGAGGTATAGCTGATTTACAATTTTATATTAATGACTCTTTAGACCCCTTTTCTCTGAGCCCATCTCCCACCCTCCTCCAAGTAAAGTCCTCAAAACTTTCTTTGGTGCCCTCTGAAGTTCAGAGTCAATTACCGGTCCAACCCTTATTAGTATTTACCTCCTCTCTCTATGTTCTCTTCATTTTTGCTCTCAATGAAACCTGACTTCCTTGTTTTTTTAGGTGGTGGTCATGGAGGTGAGGAAGTGTCTGCCTTACTCCTTGGTGCTGTTTCTAGATCATACTCCCATGAACCTCCTTGAAGCCTCAGAGTTTTGAAGCTCCTGCAATAAGCTGTGCCACACACTGATCTCCTTGTGCCTGTCACCTACAGCCCTCCTCTATTCTGAGTCACTCCCTCATTCCAAGAACCTTAGTAAGTGTCCCTGGTATAGCCCTTGGTGATTTGTATATTCACCCAGCTGATCCTTCCATCACCTTGAATTCTCACTTCCTCTTCCATCTTCCAGCTTTACTTTGTCACTTACTCTCACAGTCATACCCTCAGATCTTGTCATTACCAGTCACTGCACCCTCTCTTAGACCCAGGAATCCAACAACTCTTTGACTTCATCAGAACCTCTAATTCACTGACACTGTCCCCTCTTCACTGTCCCTCAGCCCATGATGTCTTCACTTCCTCATTTACCCATCTTGGATCCCATCATGATCCATCACCATAAATTACTTCCTCCCTTGCACGTACCCTCCTTGGTCTATCACCATGAAATACTCCCTTGCATGCACCCTCCTCAATTTGTCTGGAGAACTTTAACCCCAGTTAAATTTATTGCTCTGCTTCCTCCGCATCTGTGCCCACATGTTCAACCATAGTCTGGGAGAAAACACATCCCTGCTTACAGCCAATCCTACATTTCTCTAGTATATTCATTTATGCTCTCCTAGAAAATCATTTTGTACCACATTCTCTTTTCTCAAACCTCCAACAACTCCTCCCCAACCTTACTCCAGACTGATCATTCTGCATCTTTTTTCACAAATCAGATAGTCACAAAAGATCCTTCTTTCACACATATCACAGGTGGACTAACTCCGGTACCTGTGCTCATGTACGCCACCCCTTCGTGACACCTCTTTCTCAGACTCTATATCAAATCTACTACTATTGCATCTACTTTCAGAATCTATCCAGAATCTAAGCCACTCAGCTCTGTTAGGGATACAAATATATATATACATATTTTGTATGTACTCAAGATAGCTCTGGAGTTAACTACACATTAAGTTGCTTAGAGGACTATGATTTCACAGAAGTTATACATACATACACACACACATATATATAATATAAATATATAAAAAACATATATAAAACATTCATATACCACATGCATATAGAACATTTCCTGCTTTCAAGATGCTCAATACATTTAAATACATTGCTTTGCTCTCCTGGAATCCCGAAAGAGTCCTAAACTTGCATGAAAAAGAAAACCCTTTAAATGTTCAGTGATCATAAAAGAAGAACAGACTAAGAAAGCTGTGGTACATATACACAATGGAATATTACTCAGCCATTAAAAAGAATACATTTGAATCAGTTCTAATGAGATGGATAAAACTGGAGGCCATTATACAGAGTGAACTAAGCCAGAAAGATAAACACCAATACAGTATACTAACGCATATATATGGAATTTAGAAAGATGGTAACGATAACCCTATATGCAAGACAGAAAAAGAGACACAGATGTATAGAACAGACTTTTGGACTCTATGGGAGAAGGCGAGGGTGGGATGATCTGAGAGAACAGCATCGAAACATGTATATTATCAAGTGTGAAACAGATCACCAGTCCAGGTTGGATGCATGAGACAAGTGCTCAGGGCTGGTGCACTGGGATGACCCTGAGGGATGGAATGGGGGGGAAGGAAGGTGGGAGGGGGGTTCAGGATGGGGAACACATGTAAATCCATGGCTGATTCATGTTAGTGTATGGCAAAAACCACTACAATATTGTAAAGTAATTAGCCTCCAACTAATAAAAGTAAATGGAGAGGGAAAAAAAAACAGACTACAAGGGCATTTTTGTCATGCTTTAAATAACAAAGCAGACATTCTCAAAGCAAAGGGACTCTTAAGTTTTTCTGAATGTTTTAAAAAATTCAAAGTGCTTTAACACAGATTTACTTATAATTCACTCCAGGAGACCAAAACCTATGAATAACGCTAAATATGAGGAGCAAGTTTGGGCCACAAAGAAAAAGGAAATCATCAAGACAAAGAATTTCTGTTGCAGGTGATGCAGAGCAACTACAGAAAACTCAACAGCATCCTTTAAAATATGGCAAACAACCAAGGAATGCTACTGACATACCATTTTCCCCAGGGTGGTCTCAAATGCTTCAGAAAACTTCTTCAACAGATCTGTGTCATCACAGCGAGTTGCCTTGTATAGCATCTCAAAGGACTTATACCCATGATTTGCAAAACGTTTTACTGGAAAAAATCAGTTTCAGTTGGTTAGTGTTTTCAAAACACAAATTTAATTTCTGTGGAATTAAACTGGTATTTTCATCCAGACATGGTTTGTGGGATTGTTATAAAAACAAAAGTTGACAGTTAAGGAATGTTTCCAGGCATTAATCGATCATCATACACCACCAGCCAAGCAGCCGTGTACCCAGTTACCTGGTGATATATTTGCTTTCTATATTATTCTTTACCTTCCAATCATATGACAAAGTGAACATTTAAGGGCAAAAGAGATATAAACATTTTTTCATTATATTCCTTGGAATCTTTGAAAAATTCTGGTTGCAAAGATATTATATAAGTTTATAATGTATATGTTTATATTTTCAACCAATAGACACTAAACAATTTCTGAATGGTATGTGAAATTATATTTCTTAAAAGTGTAATTTCACAGAGATAAACTTTTCCTTGGATCAGAAGTTAAGAAGTTAAGACAGCAAAATGTCTTGAAATATTCACAGTCTCCTAACAATATCAACATTAAAATCCTACGGTCTAAATCTTTGATAGAGGTGAGTAATATCACTTGTATTTCCCAAATTTATGAACAATACAGTTCAAGTAAGTGAGTTTTACTTTCTAAGACACTGGCATTTAAACTTCATCTATAGTAGTGGATCAAATATCCACTCCAGAGATGATTATTTACACAAGATAAAGACATTGGATTATTTTTAGAATAATACACAAGATTACAGAATAGATCTAAATCACTTCTAAAAAGAGTATGACTGATCTGACTGCATCATGTATACAGGCTCTTACTTTAAATATAAGTTCTTCTCCAGACATCAGACTATACATTAGTTCAAGTTTACAGCTCAAGAATGACATCTTGAATCTTCTGACAATTCTGGTAAATAATAATGAGGGGGCCAAGATGTTTTTCCCATAAACTGAATCTTGTCCTATAGCAATCCAATCAGCAATAAGATTCTGGGCTAATATTTTAAATTGAAGGATGGACATTTCTCCTATCTATAAACACTTCACATTCATGGCACCATTTTGTACTCACCAAATCTAAACCCTGTATTAAGGCAATTTTCTTCTTTAATGTTAAGAAATTTACACATATAGGTAGTCAAACACATATTTACACATACTAAAGAAGCCCAGAAAAATTTAGAACTTACTAGCACAGTCTGGCCATTCAGTGGAATATGGTGGTTTCCAGATACCATCTTCATAAGCACAATAATACTTGTCAGTAGATCCTTCTGTGAAATCATAGCCCTCTAAGCAACTTAATGTGCAGTTAACACCAGTACTATCTTGAGTACATACAAAATCCCCATTTACAGGTGTAAATGGAACTTCACAGGGGGAACCTGTGTAAAAAAATTGAATTATTCATATACAGTGGTATAAAAATATCAATTAAAATCTAGGTGTCTAAGCTGAATTTTGAAAAGGAGTCCTCCTGTCCACCACTACTCCCAGAAAAACTCTCAGAATAAATCCATAGTGTGAGGTTACTGCAATTTCTGCTTTTTGATTCCTAGGTGGGTATGCCAAAAAGCTGTACCAATGTGTAATTAATGATCTATGCATAACTGTGATATTTTTGGCATTCTTTTAATAAAAAGGAAAACCAAATAATGTTACATAGCAAATATATTTTCAGAATCTGTCTCCTCAAGCATTCAAAATAGGATCATGACAATACTTTGTAACTTTGAAGAAAATATTAATAAGTGGTTATAGACTAGCTCAGAAGAAAGCATGTGTATTTACCATTAAGTGAAGTAATAATAATTGGAAACCTCAATACAATTTGTCAGTATTCTAACTTTAAACAGCTATGTTCATAGCCTATTTTCTTTCACAAAGGAGAGTGCAATAGTGATTACATATCTCAAGTGTCAGCTAGATTTTGGAGGCTTATGCAGAGTATACCTTTTACGATAATGTGAATGTCACACGATCTATTATTGCCTGAGGGGTCAGTGGCTGTATACCGCACTATCGTCTCCCCATGAGGGAAAAGGTCTCCTGGTGTATGGCTTCTGGTGATGGTCAACACGGCCCCTAAAAAGTAGAGAAGGGGAAAGAAGGAATCCAATCTGGGGGTTATTGTGTGCAGTCACTTTATTTGATTTGAATTTTCATTTACTCTTTATACAAACCAGCTGAACATTCTATTGGTACTAACTGCTAACAGAAAATAAACTATAAAATCTTATACTAAACTATAGAAATAGTTGACTCAGAAGCCTCATTAAATGAAGGCATTCTTGCTAAATAGATTATTTTCCTTTACTAGGTCAGTCTCTGTGAATATTGGAAATTGAATTAGAAGCATATTTCACTTGCATTCTTGTTTTCAGGGTGTTTGTGAAAACTTTAAAGTGAACTTCAGCTATATTTGCTCACTTTTTTCTGTTTTCCCATGAGCTTTTGTAACATTTTTGGCAAATGTTTGAGAACTGAGTATGAATACATAGAAATGCATTAGATTTGCCAATAGGATGCATAGCTTATGTCTCTAGGATAAAGGAAGCTTAGAGGCTCAACGAATTTACTAGAACACTTTCAAATAAAATACACTGTACAAGTTTAATAAATCCCCACTGAATAATGAATGAAAAGCCATGGACAGGAAAGAATAACAATGTTAAAATATATAGAATTATCCTAGCATTAAAACATCTTAGGTAATTAATTATCCATGCTACTATATTTAGATGTAATTTGTTTTTTATTTCTTTTATCTTTTTTTGGTATTTTTTACAATTTTTCATTTATTTTTATTAGTTGGAGGCTAATTACTTTACAATATAGTAGTGGTTTTTGCCATACATTGACATGAATCAGCCATGGATTTACATGTGTTCCCCATCCTGAACCCTCCTCCCACCTTCCTCCCTATCCCATCCCTCTGGGTCATCCCAGTGCACCAGCTCCAAGCACTTGTCTCATGCCTTTTTTTATCTTTTTAAAAGCTTTTTATTTGGTGGTAACATGTTGACAACAAGATACCCGCATTCTCACCTGAGTTGTCTGAAAACTGAGGCTCGTCCCAGGTTGCAGCATGCTCCTTCTCAGAGACCTGGATTGGAGGCGGGGATCTGCACCAGTCTATGCTAGGTGGTTCTACATCTAAAAAACATGAAATCAGAGGATGAAGTCACAACTGATGTTCAAAACTGATGAGGAAGGTTGCAAGAGAGAATCAAAGTCTACTTGTGCTGGCAGAGAACCTTGACCTTGACACAAGGTTGGCCCTGGGATCCCTTTGATGATGACATGGTAAAGAATCCACCTGCCAATGCAGGAACTGTAAGAGATGTGGGTTTAATCCCTAGGTCAGGAAGATGCTTGGAGGAGGAAATGGCAACCAACTCCAATATTCTTGCCAGGATAATCCCATGGACAGAGGAGCCTGGTGGGCTATAGTCCTTGAGCACACATGCATGTTTCATCCCTGATCTCAGCATCACAAGAAAAAGCTGATTCTTGCTATGCTTCACTCTACTTGTTGAAGAAATACTGGATTGCTAAAATCACCATGAGCACAGCAGTATGAATGGTAAATTTGGGATGTGGTGAGCATTTAATTTGTGAGTTTTGCCAGTGGTAGTTGAACTGATTCACCCAGAAATGAAGAAAACATTCCCAGATAATCAGAAGGCGTGAAATGACCAAAGCAGTCATTTCACAGGGATCTCTTGAATCATCCTCCTCTTAACTGAAGGGTTGACAGATGCTACATGGAAGACCAATGGGTAGAGATCTGAGTCGTGCTGCAGAATATATAGGGCATTTAAGTGTCATTGTCATTGTTAAGTTTCTCATTATGTCCAACTCTTTGTGACCCCATGGACTACAGTGTATCAGGCTTCCCTGGTGTTCATGATCTTCCAAAGTTTGCTCAAACTCATGTCCTTTGAGTCGGTGGTGCTATCCAACCATCTCATCCTCTGTTACCCTCCTGCTCTCAATCTTTCCAGCATCAGGCTCTTTTCCCATGAGTCAGCTCTTTGTATCAGGTGGCCAAAGTACTGGAGCTTCAGCTTCAGCATCAATCCTTCCAATGAATATTCAGGGCTGATTTCCTTTAGGATGGATTGGTTAGATCTCCTTGCTGTCCAGGGACTCTCAAGAGTCTTCTCCAGAGCCATAGTTCGAAAGCATCAATTCTTTGGCACTCAGCCTTTTTATGGTCCAATTCTCACATCTGCATATGACTACTGGAAAAACCATAGTTTTGACTATGCGAGCCTTTGTCAGCAAAAAGTGAGGATGTGATATTGCTGAAAGGCTAGGAGATTATGTCCATAGGTGGGACTATGGGGTCTAAGATGCCTAGGTTGATAAATTCCAGTTAAAGACAAAGAAGAGCATGTGGACATGGGAATAGGGGGCTGCAATGGAGAGGGGATGAAAGCCACGGTAGAAATGAAAGAACTGTGAGTCTGTTGCTGGGCACTGTAATCTACATTGAAGGAAGGGTTTGAGGGGGTTGCGGGTGAGCCAGGTTTCAAACTCTGATGGAATGCGGTGGAATTTGAGGAGGTCAGAAAAGTACAACCAAGAAGTCGTTAAGGAGGATATTTTCACATAACTATTGATTTTTACATATATGAAATGTCCTTCTATCTGTAGTAACATGTCTTTGAGGGAGACTGGACAAATAATATTTTTCTTATTATATAGGTAAGGGATCTCAAACCAGGCAAATTTATGAGACTTGCCCGAGGTCAGTAAGCTGGTAAATTACAGTCATAGGCATCAAGACTAGGATGATATACTGTCTATGTATATGGAAACACATATCCTGAAATGAAACAAGCTGTACCTATAATAATATACAGATTTCTGCTTGAAGCTAAGTCTTGTGAATAAATATTCAGTTTTTCTCTTTTCCTAGTATTTGCATTTCCTCAGTGTAGGATCTTTGATTTACTGCTTTCTTAGGCTGTGAACTCTGTCAACCAGCAATGGAGCCTCTTTGGCTCACAGGTCTCCACGGCCTAGCACAGCACCTGGGCCATAACAGATGCTCAGAAAAAGTTGCTGCATGAAGAAAAGAATGAAGGAATGCTCGTAGGAGGCCAGTGCACTTTGACAATTCGGAATCAAGCCAATGCATAGTTAAATTTATAAATCTAACAGTATTTACTGTGCTCCCCAAAGAAAGTACAAATGAAATAGTTCCAAGATTTTCTAAAGTTATCTGATTTTAGCCAAACATTTAAAAATTGCAGTTTGGGGATGAGAGAGAGCAGTCCGCAGAGGCCAGTGTCTGTCAAATAACTGGAGGTCCCAGCAGATGCAGCATCTCCAGAAAAAGAAAGTCCATTTCAAAGCACATGAGACAGCATTCTGTGGAATGTTAAGCAAAAGCATTCCTACTCCCTCTCATTTATCATTAAGACACCAACACTCTGTCATCTGAGGAAAACAAGAAAATGTAGGCTTTGGAATATTTTCGGTCTCCCTCTCCCCCTGCCTTCCTGGTCTCATTACCTCCCCTTCTTCCGTTCCCTCCTCCCTCCCATTTCCTCGCTCTCTTTCAGAATTTGAAAATTCAGCTAGTATCTAGCTAGACACTCGAGTATACTTTTTATATTTCACCATGCTGACTCTTCATTGTGAAAAATGAAAACGTGGCAAACTCTTCACTCACATGTCCATGTTTAAAATCACAGCACCATAAAAATAAACCCAACATATTTTTCATGTGACTGGTGATGTTCATATTTAAAACATTAAAAAAGCAATTAAAGACACTAAGCATTAGGACATAAACATAGGTTTTTATATAAGTCAGTTTATTTACTCTCACCAAAACCTACCATTTCTAGGGTAAGAAGCCAGTTTGATACACATTAGTTATTTCAAGAGGTTATGTACAATTCTTAAAATGAATTCAATGTACTGAATTTCAAAATAAACATTAAAAATACATATGAAACCAAAAGAGCAAAACGTTAGTATATTTACAAAGAGCTTAATGCAGGTCAGGAAGCAACAGTTAGAACTGGACATGGAACAACAGACAACAATTAGGAAAAGGGGTATGTCAAGGCTGTATATTGTCATCCTGCTTATTTAATTTATATGCAGAGTACATCATGAGAAACGCTGGGCTGGATAAAGCACAAGCTGGAATCAAGATTGCCGGGAGAAATATCAATAATCTCAAATATGCAGATGACACCACCCTTATGGCAGAAAGTGAAGAGGAACTAAAAAGCCTCTTGATGAAAGTGAAAGAGGAGAGTGAAAAAGTTGGCTTAAAGCTCAACATTCAGAAAACTAAGATCATGGCATCTGGTCCCATCAGTTCATGGGAAATAGATGGGCAAACAGTGGCTGACTTTATTTTT